TTGAGGTCTGTGTGGTGACTTGGAAGCAAAATGTTGCTTCAGGCAATCGTTGCTTCCTTATTGGGTGGATATGCATAACGCACTGAACTAGACTGAAATGGATTGAGTAGCTTGCAGTTCAGTACTGTAGCCAGGCATTGTCTTGATATGCTGCAGGGTGGATAAAAATCAATGATTTTTAAAAAAAAATTAAAAAAAACGGATTTTTTTTATTTAAATCGGATTTTTTTTTATTTAAATCAGATTTTTTTATTTAAATCAGATTTTTTTATTTTTATTGAATTTATTTTAATAAAAAACTTTTGGGGTAAAAATCTATCGTAAGATAGTTTTCTATTTAAGATACATAAATAATTTAGTTTATTCAGCATGAAATGGAGCTTAGTTATGTAGCATGAGGCTGTATATTCTGCAACACTGGGACTATCGGTGAGTCAACAGCGGGTCAAAGGAGTAGCAGAGATGACAGTTGCTCTTTAAAAATTACGATTTAAATCGAGTTGATTTAAATCAAGTCTTTTTACTAGTGATTTAAATCATGATTTAAATTGATTCGATTTAAATCAAATCCACCCTGATATACTGTGTTAAGCCAACCTCACAGTGAGCTACCCAGGTAGTCTTCAACCAGGGGTGAAATCCAAAATTTGTTACTACCGGCTTGGTGGGGAGGAGGGTGTAATGTGACTGGGTAGGTGTGTCCAACATTTTTTTTTTTTTTACTTTTAAAAGCATTTTTTCTACAACCTTAAGAGGTTGTAGAAAAAATTGCTTTTAAAGGTCTCTGACGATCCCAGCTGAGCCGCGCGATCATCAGAGGCTTTTTTTTTTTTAACTTTTAAAAGCATTTTTTCGGCCGAAGAGGTTGTAGAAAAAAATGCTTTTAAAAGTAAAAAAACCAGCCTCTGATGATCGCGTGGCTCAGCTGGGTATGGGGTGTGTGTGCAGGGATTTTTGCTACCGGTTCTCCGAACCAGCCGCCGCCATCGCTACCGGATCAGGTGATCTGGTCCGAACTGGGAGCATTTCACCCCTATCTTCAACTTATGACCACAATTGAGCCCAACTTTTTGGCTGCTTAAGTAAAAAAATTCTTTTTAGACAATAGAATAACAGAGTTGGAATGGATCTTGGAGGTCTTCTAGTCCAACCCCCTGCTTAGGCAGGAAACCCTACACCAGGAGTCTCCAACCTTGGCAACTTTAAGTCTGGAGGACTTCAACACCCAGAATTGGAGTTGGAGACCCCTGCCCTACACCACTTCAGACAAGTGGTTATCTAATCTCTTCTTAAAAACGTCCAGTGTTGGAGCATTCACAACTTCTAGAGGCCAGTTGTTCCACTGGTTAATTGTTCTAACTGTCAATAAATTCCTCCTTAGTTCTAAGTTGCTTCTCTCCTTGATTAGTTTCCACCCATTGCTTCTTGTCCTGCCCTCAGATGTTTTGGAGAATAGCTTGACTGCCTCTTCTTTGTGGCAGCCCCTGAGATATTGGAAGACTGCTATCATGGCTCCCCTAGTCCTTCTCTTCATTAAACTAGCCATGCCCAGTTCCTGCAACCGTTCTTCATATGTTCTTCATATGGCTTTCATATGTTTTGAAAGCCTTGAAAGCAAGGCAGTTGTTGAATTGTGTCGTATTTTTTGACCTTTTCCCATAGTTGTTAAGTGAATCACTGCAGTTGAAGTGAATCATGAGACGGTTAAGGGAATCTGATTTCCCCCCCATTGAGTTGTTTGTCCGAAGCTGAGTGGGAAGGTGGCAGATGAGTGATCACATGACTCTGGGACAAGGCAACTGTCATAAGTACATGCCAGTGGCCAAGCGTCCAAATTTTGACGATGTGACTATGGAGATCCTGCCACAGTCATATGAGAACCGGTCATAAGTCACTTGTTGCAGTCCTTTGAACGGTCGCTGAGCAAATAGTTATAAGTTGAGGACTACCTGGACTGTTGTTTGTTCCTTCAAGCGCAGTCCGCACCATTGCTCTCCAAGGGTCTCCACCCACCCACTCACTTGTGCTACCCTGTTGTAACATCTTTTCTTGCAGAGCATGAGATGGCACTGTGATTAAGGGTGGGTAGGTCTGAATTATCATCCTTTGTATCGCATTAGTAGCTGCCTCAGGCCCTGCTTCACTCTCTTTGAGAGGCCTTTGTTTCATATCCCGTGAAATTTACATCGCGCTGCATCTCTTGGAATTTAAAATATGAAAATGTCTGAAGTCTTTCTAAGGACACTCAGGCGGTTTTCGGAGCACAGAGTTGCAGGTGGCAGCAGTGGATTCAGACATCATTTTCAGATCTAACCAATAGAAGGTTTTATTTTGACTAGAATAGAGGGAGAGGGAAAGAAGGAGAGAAGAGAAGAGGGAGAGAAGAAAAGGATAGAAGAAAAGAGAGGGAGAGGAAGAGAAGAGAAGAGGGGGAGAAGAAAAGAGAGGAAGAGAAGAAAGAAGAGAAGAGGATTCTTTATTGGCCAAGTGTGATTGGACACACAAGGCATTTGTCTTGGTGCGTACGCTCTCGGTGTACATAAAGAAAAGATACATTCGTCAAAAATCATAAGGTACAACACTTAATGATAGCCATAGGGAAACAGTCAATATAAATCTTAAGGATACCAGTAACAAAGTTACAGTCACACAGTCATAAGTGGGAGGAGATGGGTGATAGGAACGATGAGAAGATTAATAGTAATGCAGACTTAGAAAATAGTTTGACAGTGTTGAGGGAATTATTTGTTTAGCAGAGTGATGGCGTTCGGGGAAAAACTGTCCTTGTGTCTAGTTGTTCTGGTGTGCAGTGCTCTATAGTGTTGTTTTGAGGGTAGGAGTTGAAACAGTTTATGTCCAGGATGCGAGGGGTCTGTAAATAATTACTCTCTGTAAATAGAGAGCTGTGATTCATGTTCCAAGTGAGAGGAATGATTCATTGATCAAATGGCATAACTGGTTAAAAAGTAGCTGGCCTGTGGTCCCTCTTGGCATTTCCATAAAATTGAGAGATGGATGGGAAGAGGACTATAGTATAAAGCAGGGGTCTCCAACCTTGGCAACTTTAAGCCTGGCGGACTTCAAAGTCCGCCAGGCTTAAAGTTGCCAAGGTTGGAGACCCCTGGTATAAAGGACCTCCCATTTATAAAGATAAGGGTAGGTTTTGTCGTCCCCTGAGGGAAGATAGCTTTCAAAATGGAGGCGCCACCATCCATTATTTAGCATTCCTTGGAAAAAATAAGGTTGGATAAGAAAGCAAACAACAGTGCTTTTGTTTGTTATCTTGGACACCTGCTTATCTTGGCACATGCCCCCCCCCCCCCGAGCCTGGCAGGCTAATTTAGCTAAAACCATTGCCCCAATTTGGAAGTTGGGCTTCGGATCTCGTGTTTGCGCAACATTTCTCTGCTTCCCGTTAAAGGAGGTCCCAAAGGACCACCTCCTGTCTTTGCTGTGAGCTAAAAGGACAAGGCTGTTCCTTTTAAGGATTCCCTTCATTAAGAGAAGTCAAATTCTTGCAGCCATTAAGGACGTTAAAAGTCGAAGGAATATAAAGTTAGGTTGTCTGATCAAGGTTAAAGCAGAGCACGTTCCCCCTGGCAGTTTCCGCTGACATCAGGGCTTGAACAAGATGATGTTTTATGGATTTGTTTCTAGATAAAGAGATTGGATGGGAGGTGAAGCGATAAATGTTTGCAACCTTAGAGAGCGTGAAGAATCATTGCAGTTGTTTATATTTATGGGGAAGGTTGAAAGTCAGAGTTTGCATGTTTCCTTTCTTAACTTCTCCATCGTTTCTCTTGCACTATTTTACTTTTTTAAAAAATTTGATTTATATGCTGCCCTTCTCCGGAGACTCAGGGCGGCTTACAGTGCGTTAAGCAATAGCCTTCATACTTTTGTATATTTTATACAAAGTCAGCTTATTGCCCCCACAAACCGGGTCCTCAATTTACCTACCTTAGAAAGGATGGAAGGCTGAGTCAACCTTGAGCCTGGTGAGATTTGAACTTGCAGTAATTGCAGACAGCTGGAGTTAAATTACAATGCATTAGTCTGCTGAGCTATCCAGGCTCCTTTTTTGTTCTTATTCTTAAACTTGTATTGAATTTTATTATATTCCAGACTGTTAATAAAATTATATGCACACATATGTATATTTACATGTGGAATCCATTCGTTAGGATGAAGGAGACTCTCAAATCAGAGGATTCCTTCAAGCCTGAAATGTCCAGCTTCTCTAATAAATCGGAGAAGGAAGCTGAACTAGCTCAGGCCCCAAAAGTACTTCTTCCAAATTGCAGCCTGCCAGAAAGTATTTATGTTAATCACATTCCGTTTAAAATGACATTTAATTATTTGTCCTGGTATGACCCAATGTGGAGCTGCCCCCCAGCTCGCTACTTGAAGGCCATGTTACAGCTTTCCACCCACATATAATTGAATCTCCAGATCTGCCCAAAAGTTCAAATGCTCCCCATGGATGGAAAGTCTGATTGAAAGCCATTTAGGATCAAGCCGTTGGTGTGATTGTGGAGGAGAGTCCTTGGGTGGGATAAGAAAGGCAAAACGCCCACAACTTTCAGTGTCTAAATACAAACTCAGCAACCGACAATCCCCAGCCAAGCTAAAACGTTAGAATGAATACCGAAGAGATTGACGGATACCTCTACAACGACAAGGGGATTAGAGATTAAAATGTTCCAATTACTTCCACCTGTTTAATTTTTATTGTATATCCAGGAGAAAGGCTGCACCCACCTCACACGCAGAACATTGGCTGGCTTTCTCCCACATGTGCATCTCTGTATAATTGCTGAGCGGTGAATATTGTATTTCTGCTCTGGGCTCGGTTTCAGTGGAGGGGGGTTTCTTTTTGTCAGTATTCTGTAAATAAGCTTCCTTGGGCACTCAGGTTGTTATAAAAAGGCCCTGAAAGGAAATAGGAATCGGTACGAGCTGCATTACCTTCCTCCTAACGCCATGGTCAAATTTAGCAGGTGCTGAAAGATGACAGAGCTGCAGAGCCTTGTTGAACGACTGGAGAAAGCGGTGGGGCGACTGGAGATGGCGTCTCGTGGTCCTGGCGTGCACGGTAGCCATGGGGACAGCCCCCCAAAAGGTAAGCTCCCTGTGCCAGATGATATTCCAAGAGGCTGACTCTACTCTGGTCCTCTGAGCGTATTTTGGCAGCCTCTGGCCCTGCCTGTGTGAACCAGATTAGCAGCTCACTTTCCCTTCCCTGTAGAGCAAGTCTTACCAGCTCTAAATCAAAAATGCATTATGGAATGGTCAGATATGACCCTTCCTTCCTTCCTTCCTTCCTCCCTCTCTCCCTCCCTTCCTCTTCCCTCCCTCCCTTCTTCCTCCCTCCCCTCCGCCCTCTCTTTCTTCCTCTTCCCTCCCTCCTTCCTTCCTCCCTCTCTTCCTTCCTCTTCCCTCCCTCCCTCCTTCCTTCCTCCCTCCTTCCTTCCTTCTTTCTTCCTCCCTCCCTCCTGTTCCATCCACCCATCCATTCATTTTTCATCTCACCTTTACCGCTTTTATATTCGAGGCAGCAAATATATATAATCTTCCTCCTCCTATTCCCCCCACAGCCCTGTTGGGGTGCACTTGCCTCCTTTTTAAGCACAGAGTGATACTGCATGCTGCCAGTATCAGAATTGTTTGTTCCTTACGATTTTTCTTTCTCCTAATTAAAGAGAAGCCAGCATGCTGCAGAATGTCAGCATGTAGCATCTGCATTCAGTTTCAAATGATGATAAATGGAACTAGTGGGAGGCCCGTGAGGCAGCCAGAGGGGGAAGAGTCAACCAGTTCCTTGGCATTGGCCATGCCCACATGGCAGGTCTTTTGTGAGGGCACCCACAATATGCTCTCAGCAATCCAAATGTCTTCACCCACTGAAAAAGACTGCCTATAAATAGGGCACCCTGGGAAACTGTGTGTTCTCCAACCACATGGCTGGAACTGCTTTCTTATCGTGCTTGAGGGGCATAAAGTTTAGGAAAGAAAATATTATCTTTTGGGAATAGAAGTAATTGTATTTATTATTTATTGGTTCGATTTATATGCCGCCCTTTTCCGGAGACTCAGGGCGGCTTACAATGCGTTAAGCAATAGCCTTCATTCTTTTGTATATACCTGCTTAGTAGGGCTTTTTGGGCCCCCCCAAGCGGTGTTCTTTTTTATACAAAGTCAGCTTATTGCCCCCACAATCCGGGTCCTCATTTTACCTACCTCGAAAAGGATGGAAGGCTGAGTCAACCTTGAGCCTGGTGAGATTTGAACTTGCAGTAATTGCAGGCAGCTGGTGCTACTTAACAGCACTTTAGTCTGCTGCACCACCAAAAGGTCAGTGGAATTTGCTTAGTAGGGCTGGGCAGCACTTTGGAGTTACCGTATTTTTCGGACTATAAGACGCACCGGAGTATAAGACGCACCAAGATTTTGAAGAGGTAAACAAGAAAAAAAAAGTTTTTGCCCTCCCCGGCCCCCAGAAGCACTCTGCAGGCCTCCCAAACCCTCTGCGTGTCCCTTTTTTTTTTGCAAAAACAGGGCCTTTAGAGGGTTTGGGACACCTGCAGAATGCTCCTGGGTCCGGGGAGGGCAAAAACGCCACCCATGGGTTTGAGAGGCCGAAAACAGGCCCGTTTTTTGCAAAAACGGGCCCTGCAGAAGGTTTGGGAGGCCTGCAGAGTGCTTCTGGGGGCTGGGGAGGGCAAAAACGGGCCCATTTTCGCTTAAAATGGGCCCATTTTTGGCTTCCCAAACCCCCCACCGGTTGCATTTTTGCCCTCCCTAGCCTCCAGGAGCACTCTGCAGGCCTCCCAAACCTTCTGCAGGGCCCTTTTTTGGCGAAAACAGGACTCGCGGGGTGGGGTTTCGGGAGGCCAAAAATGGCTGTATTCGGTGTATAAGATGCACCAACATTTCCACCCTCTTTTGGAGGGGGGGGAGTGCATCTGATACTCCAAAAAGTACGGTAATCTCCCAAAGATAATTTCCACTCCAAATTACCTTTTGGAGATTAGCTCCAAAACAGCTGCCCAGCCCTAGCAAGCAAATTCACTCTCTTTCCCAAACCCCTCCTGTTCTCAAAACATACAACTCCAGTGTCTGTCTGTAGCCCCTTAAAACCAGCTGCAGTTTTCCTGGGATGACATGCATGGACCTGGGAAAGAAACAACTGCTTTTAAAGGGTGTTGCTGCATTTACACATTGAAGCCCCTCTTGGAGATTGTATCTCCGGCACTAATGCCTCTCCAAATCTTTACTGCACATGTTCGATGTGCAACAGGCCTCACCTACCAGTTCTCATCTGCTTCTTTTCCTTCTGCAGGAGTCGCTGAGTTTGTGCAAGCTTTTGATGAGCTCTTGGCAGGTCCAGTGGCTGCATACATGAAGATCAGCAGAGAAATTGGCAGCGAAGTCCAAACACACGTATGATTTGTGCTTCCTTCCTGTTTCCTATTTTGAGTGGACATAAATACACCACCCCTAATATCTTTGGCAGGCAATCAATTGAGGCTAACGGGCATTTTGCCCAGAAACTGAGGTGGTATGATCAAGTTCACACAATAAATGGTGAAGGGGGACCATGTAGACCCCATTCATACACTTTGTGTATGTGTGTGTGGGGAGGGGGGGTTGGCAATACTTTGGCAGTACTAAAACTCTGGTGGCCAGAGACTGCAAAAAGAGGGAAAAAATGTTTAGATTCTGAAGACTGCAGTAATTTTGGCATGCCACCCATCAAATCTCTCCAGAATAGAAAATTCAATTTACCGAGGAACAAGTTTGAATTAAAAATAGGAACTTGGCCTGTATTATTTTTTCACGGGTATTGTTTTTTTTTTGTGCAAAAGGATAGCGCCTACTTCTCTTGAACTACTGGCTGTTGTGTTTTCTAGACACCTGCACTGACACGAGAATGGGGATATTTCTACAGAAATTCTTAGGGTAGTCCTATAAAATAAGGTACTAGGTGGGTTTTAAGTGGGGCAAGGAGCATTGAGACTACCCAAAGGATTGAGGTTTTTTTTTTTCCCCTGAAGTGAGATTGAAACTAAATTTCCTTCCTTTTCTACACTTATTCCAGTATATTACACCAGGACTGACCTATTTCTAAAATATCTCTGTCCAGGCTTTAGGAGGAATTGTAGAAAATATTAATTTTCAGTAGAAGAGAAAGATGTAGCTCTGGATTGAATTGTGGGGTTCCTCAGCAACACTTGTGATGTTGCCTAGTTAGGCAATGAAAGATCTGCAAGCAAAGAAGCTCAGAGAATACAATGTTCTACAATATATTGGTGTTTTAAAAATACCCGTTATTAGACAGTTTTGCAGTACTAAATAGGGATGCAGTGGCTAAGACACTGAGCTAGTCGATTGAAAAGTCGGCAGTTTAGCGGTTCAAATCCCTAGTGCCGCGTAACGGGGTGAGCTCCCGTTACTTGTCCCAGCTTCTGCCAACCTAGCAGTTCGAAAGCATGTAAAAAATGCAAGTAGAAAAATAGGGACCACCTTTGGTGGGAAGGTAACAGCGTTCCGTGCGCCTTTGGCATTGAGTCATGCCGGCCACATGACCATGGAGACGTCTTCGGACAGCGCTGGCTCTTCGGCTTTGAAACGGAGATGAGCACCGCCCCCTAGAGTCAGGAACGACCAGCACATATGTGCGAGGGGAACCTTTTACCTTACAATACTAAACAATAATGCAAACTAAAATCAGAGAAAAGACATGAAAACAATAGAAATAGAAAAGAGATGAAAAAAAAGAATCTTTAACTCCCAATCTTCTTACAACAAACACAGGCCCATCCCCTATGAAATTAGATACACATTCACATTATATTAGTTTTTAAATCTTCTCTCTTCCAGAGGAGAGGAAAGCCCATCTTTCCTCTCCTCTCCTTCTCCAGCAAGTCTTCAAGCCTTATTAATATGCATATCAAATCTTAGTTAGGAGGTGATTTGCTCCATGCTGAATGGGCACAGCTTAACAGCATTTCAAGGCCTTTGGCTTTAACTTATGTTAGCCATCCCTGCAAACTTTCTTAAGGCTATTGTGTGGAGGCTATTGTTTTAATGTTAATTTTTGTTTGTTTGTTTGTTTGTTTCATTGTTACCAAATTACCTTTGGTTGTTGAATAATGAAAAGCAGCATGCAAATGTAAGAAACGATGTATATAATCTGTTTTACAGTCAGTCGTTCTTGGAATTCTATTTTGCCAACCAGTCATTGCGGCTAATTCATAGAGTTGTCTGTTTCTCTTTAAGGCTGAGATGGTCCATGCTGGATTGATAACCGAGAGAACTCTTTTGGTGACAGCCTCACAGTGCCAGCAGCCCATAGCAGTAAGTGGAGAAAAACCTTTAGAATTATAGTGATGTTGCTCTAGTACAATGATGGCAAACCTATGGCACACGTGCCAGACGTGGCATGCAGAGCCCTGTCTTCTGGCACACGGGCCGTCGTCCCAGCTCAGATCTCCATGGCGTTTCTTTCGTGAGCTTCTGTTTCCCTGCAAACAACGAAACAGAAGCTCACAAAAGAAAAAGATCTTACCTCTTGCCGCGCTGCTGGTGTTGGGATGCCCCGCCTCCCATCAGCCAGCTGGTCTTCAGGTCTCTGCTGCGCATGTGAGCATGTCCGTGCATGCACACGTAACGAGGTGAGCTCCCATTCCTTGTCCCAGCTTCTGCCAACCTAGCAGTTCAAAAACACGTAAAAAATGCAAGTAGAAAAATAGGGAGCATCTTTGGTGGAAAGGGAACAGCGTTCCGTGCACCTTTGGTGTTGAGTCATGCCGGCCACATGACCACAGAGACGTCTTCGGACAGTGTTGGCTCTTCGGCTTTGAAACGGAGATGAGCACCGCCCCCTAGAGGGGGGTACACTAGTACATATGTGTAAGGGGAACCTTTACCTTTGTGCATACTGTGTGCCCAGGAAAGGCTACCCCCCAAACAGATGAACCTCATGGGGAAGAAACATCTGTATCATACAGCTGTGTTTCCCAATCTCAGCAGCTTTAAGAGGTATGGATTTCCACTCGGCATGCTGACTGGGAAATTGTAGGATTTGGTGAGGTTGGGAAACGCTGCCATACAGCATGCAGAAAGCAGTAGGAAGATATTCCTTTGCACACCTGTTCTATAACTGCAGGTTCTACCTGGTGATGGGGGGTTGCAGGACAGATAGTCCTTGACTTACAGTCATTTGCTTAGCAACCGCTTGAAGTTACAGCGGCACTGGAAAAAACGACTAATGACCATTTTTCACTTTTACGATTGTTGCAGCATCCTTCCGGTCACAATGATCAAAATTCAGGCACTTGGCAAATGGGGTGTGTTTATGAGAGTTGCACTGTTCCAGGGTCACCTGATCACCATTTGTAACCTTCTCAGCCGGCTTCCAACAAGCAAAGTCAATGGGAGAAACTAGATTTGCTCAATAGCAATAGCACTTAGACTTATATACAGTTTCATAATGCTTTACACCCCTCTCTAAGCGGTTTACAGAGTCAGCATATTGCCCTCAACAATCTGGGTCCTCCTTTTGCCCAGCTAAGAAGGATGGAAGGCTGTGTCAACCTTGAGCTGGTCAGGATCGAATTGCTGGCAGTGGGCAAAGGGAAGGGAAGGGAAGAGGAGGGGAGGGGAGGGAGGAAGGAAAGGAAGGAAGGAAGGAAGGAAAGAAGGACAATAGCACTTAGACTTATGTACCACTTTACAGTGCTTTACAGCCCTCTCGTAAGCGGTTTACAGAGTCAGCAGATTTCCCCCAACAATCTGGGTCCTCATTTTGCCCAGCTCGGAAGAATGGAAGGCTGAGTCAGTCTTGAGCCATGTCAGGATCGAACTCCTGGAATGAGCAGTGAGTTAGCCTGCAATAGTGCATTCCAGCCTCTGCACCAGCATGGCATGATTCACTTAACTGCAGCAAAAAAAAAGATCATAAAATGGAGCAAACTCACTTAACAACTGCCTTGCCTAAACCATAGAAATTTTGGGCTCAGTTGTAGTCGTAAGTCAAGGACTGTCTGTACCGGAAACTAAAACGTAATCATTGCAGCTTGATTGATGTCTTAGTATAATCCACCAACCGAGCCGTTGTTTTTTCAAAGGACTGTTGTTTAAAAAAATTGTGAGTCAATAGACCACAGCTCAGTAGTACTTATGATCTGGCCCTGGTTTAATTAGAAGGTGGAAGATAGATGGGAGGAGAACTTTATGCCATTCCAAAAGGCAAAATTAAAAATACGATATGGGTATTTTCTATCTACATGCTTAATCCCGGGACATAAGAAGAGTAGCATCAATGGGAATAGGCAGTCTTAAATTACGATCAAGGAGTACCCTCGGCAGCCAGAGGACTTGGATGCATAAATAAATTCACTTCTTTGTTTCCCTAATTTTGCAACTGCAGAGTAACTTCTCCGTCGTGTTGAAGCCAATATCGGATCAGATCCAAGTGGTCCAGAACTTCAGGGAGAAGAACCGTGGCAGCAAATTCTTCAACCACCTCTCGACAGTTAGCGAAAGCATCCCTGCGCTAGGCTGGGTCGCCATGGTAAGGATTTGGGAACAAAAACCTCTCCATGCAAAGTTGCTCCGAGCTTCTCAAGGATGATGGTTCATATTCGCTTTGCCGGTCTTGAATGCTGACGGGGAAGAGAGGCAACGCACCTCCCTTAAGCAGAATATTTCTGTGTGTTCTGACTCTGCGGTCAGACCAGTAGAGTTACTCCTCTGCTCCCTTTATCATCTTTGGTGTATCAGAGCTCATAACTCCTCTTCCTACTCACCATGCAGGCTGGTCCAAAACTCAACAAGGTTCTTGTTGAATTTCCCACTAAAATTTCCAGGAAAGTAGCAAAATTTTACTCGATTCTTATTGCTGTTGGAAAGGCCTGAATTAATTCTGTGCTGATTAGGGATGCTGAATCTACACACCTATTATTGGTTTTTATTTGTTTATTTAATTTATATTGCCACCTGTTCTCCTATGGCGACTCAAGGCGGCTTACAGAATATAAAAACCACATTTAAAAAACAGTAAAACTTAATAAAAAATCAAATTAATTAATGTAATAAAATCGCTTCCCCCGCCTCCCGCCCCAGCGACAGCCGATCACATGAGCCATTTAATGGGCTCCATCCCACTCTGGGTTCCCCAGGCCTGCTGGCAGAACTAGGTCTTTAATGCCTTCCGGAAAAGTATTAGAGTGGGGGCCATTCTAATCTCTGGAGGGATGATGTTCCAGAGAGAGGGAGCCACCACGGAGAAGGCCCTTCTTCTGGGTCCCACCAGGTATATCTCCCTCGGGGATAGGACCCGCAGCATTCCCTACCTCCCCGCTCTGATGGGTCGGGTAGATGTGACCGGCTGTTCTGTCCCCGTACCACACACGCACCCCCACAGATGGCCCGGAGTTAATAAACCACACGACAAAACTTTTTGAAGATAAAGCTGGCAGCAACCAGTGGCTAGCTGCCAATTCAGACTTTACTCACACAAAACAAAGATTAGACTGCAAGCATTCCGATAAAACAGGCAAGAGTTTCAACAATACAAGGATTAATCCAAATGCAGTCCGATAAAGCAGGCAAAGTCCAGTAACGCAGAGATCATGGATTATTTCCAGTTTTAGCTCGTCACAGACTGAACCGGCCACCACACCCACATTTATACCCTGTGGGGTGTGGTCCAGTGAGTCAGCTAATCTCTGGCATGCCTTCCCCTCTGCTGTGCACGCTTCTCCCTGCGCCTCTGCCAAGGGTCCAGCCAGCACTTACCTTCTTCGTCGCTGTCCACCTGTGGCTGCGGGGACGTGCTTGGCTCTGAGCCTATTTTTTGGCCTTCGGTGTCCTCCAGAGGCATTGCCAGAGAGGAGGATCCTGGAGAGGGAGGCCTTGCCAACTCCTCTCCATCACTCTCAGAGTCTGCATCTGTCGATAGCCCAGGCTCAGGCAACGGAGCCACAACACTGGCAAGGGAAGATCCCTCAGATCACCTGGTCCCAAGCCATGAAGGGCTTTAAAGGTGACAACCAGCACCTTGAATTGCACCCGGAAGCAAATTGGCAACCAATGCAACTCCCGCAGGAGCTGCATTTTTGCTTTGTTATACTGTTTATTTTATATGCAACGATTGGAATGCTATCAATATTCTTCTGTCAATGGCTTCTTGTGCACCATTTTTCTGGTCTTTGGCAGTAAATTAGTTAAATTAAAATGGTTGGTTTTTAAAAATGTCGTTGCTTTGGTTTTCCTGCTGAGGTGAAAGGTTTATTTCTGTGTTGTTTTCTTTGCTCCTAGGCCCCCAAGCCAGGCCCTTATGTGAAGGAAATGACAGATGCCGCCATGTTTTACAGCAATCGAGTCCTTAAAGAATATAAAGATGTGTACGTTTTCTTTCAGAAAGCTGCAAGTATTCTGTTTCTCAGAGGAAGTAACTAGATATTGTTGTGACCCAGGCCCAAGTAGGTAGTATTAGACGCAAACAGTTCCAAAACAAACAGACTTTATTAGAACAGCTGAGAATTAACTCATTCTGAGCGTAGTCCAAACTAAATTAAAACAAATTCTTCATAACACAAATTCTTCAGTCTAATCACCAACCTTGGTATAATTAGGCAAACTGCCAAAGGCTTCTCTTGGCAAAAGTTCAGAAGCAGGAGACGCCGACAAAAAATAAATGTAGCAAGACAAGAAACAAATCTATCAACACTGTTTTCCGACAAAGAGCCCAAGAGCCGTTGCTGGTCTTTTAAGTCTTATGGGAGGGGCCAATCATCTCTTGGCCCTACTTCCTAGTCGTCCTCTCTGCTTTATCTGCTCCTGCCTTCTGGCAGCTCTTCTCATACGTGCACTAGGAACAGGCTCCTCCTGTTCCTCTGCCTCTCTACTGTCAGCCTCTGGAGGCTCCGGAGTCTGCACATCACTCCCTGACGGCTCTGGCCCCATCTCTGCCTCTGACGCAGAGCTGTCATCCAGGCCTTCCCCAGCCTCCAGGACTGGCCCAGGTTCTTCCTCAGCCTCATCGCTGTCTGACTCTGCTGCCAGCTCTGCAGGCTGCTGGCGGACCACAACAGATATAATGTTACATAAGAAGCACTGCCCACCATATTTTTTTTAAAGAAATTAACTATAAAGTTTTATTGGTTGATCTCTGGGTGAGTAAGAATACATAATACAGGTAGTCCTCGACTTATGACCCTAACAGAGCCTGCTCATTACAGTTTTAAGCTGTGATGTTCATAACGTGTGTCACTATGTGACCAGATCCATTTTAATGACCTTTTTTGCAGTGGTTGTTAAGCAAACCCATTGTTCGGTATGGAGCATTTTTGCCAAAAACCAGAAGCAAATGCCAGCGTTTGGCAAAAAATATAAATCATGATCAAATGACTGCAGGATTCCGCATACTGTTGTAAATGTGAGCTGGTTGCCAAGCAACCGAAATAGTCACATGACCATGGAATGTGGCCTTTGGAACCGAGTCAAAGTTATGACATCGTAACTTTGGATGGTTGCTAAGCAACTGGTCATAAGTTGAGGACTACCTGTAACCCAATTTCAAGAAACCAATGTACAGCTAAAGAGCAAAGGCAAGACTTGTGAATAAATCCTCCTTGGATGGAATTTCATATCTTGCAACGGGAGCGTTGATATCTTACTTGGTTTCATAAACTGGGCATTTTACCATAAAATCCAGAAAACTAAGACAGCCTATAGTTGGAATGAGGAAAGCAAAAAAAAAAAATAGTTTTAGGAAAATTGCATGGCAAAAATTAAACTCCTTTATGAAAGCATATCATCAGACCACACGTTTTCTGAATAGTTTTTATCCCAGAGCTATAATTGCACTCAACAATGAACTAAAGGGCCACCATCAGTGAGCTGTTGGACAGCATTACTTAGACCATTACTTGGTCTGTTGTGTGGATGTTTGGGTGGTTGAGGGGTGGGGAATTGTGGTGGGTGGGAGTGTGTTTGGGGGTTGTTATGTGTGTTGGACCTGGTCTTTGGGTGTTAAGTGAATTTCGTTGTATGGGTATACTGTGTATACACGTACAATGACAATAAAGTTATTATTATATGGGGAGGCCGAGAGATACTAAAAGGAAATTCCCTTAGATATTCAGTACCGAAAGTTCAGTTGATGTCTATGAAGATTCTCAGTCATCCAGGTCATGGTTGTCCCAAAGGTGCTTTTTCAAGGGGCAACTGGACTTTCTGGTTTTTCTTTGAAGACGTTTCGCTTCTCATCCAAGAAGCTGCTTCAGCTCAGAGCTCAGAAGAAGCTTCTTGGATGAGAAGCGAAACGTCTTCAAAAGAAAAACCAGAAAGTCCAGTTGCCCCTTGAAAAAGCACCTTTGGGAAAGTTAGCTTGCTTCTCCTACCAAAAAGTTTTGAGGAGTCACTTTTTCCAAGCAGTTCTATCTGTAAAATGAAGGTGGTAAACTAGGACCCCTGTTATAAGCAGAATTTCAGTTGGCCCAGCCCAATTAGGTTGTCTGGATCTTCCTTCTCTAGCGATAAGAAGCACGTGGACTGGGTGAAGGCTTATCTCAGTATCTGGACTGAGCTGCAGGTGTACATCAAGCAGTACCATACCACTGGACTCACCTGGAGCAAAACGGTGAGTGCAACCTGCACATCCATATTTTTTTATTTTTATTTATTTAATCTAATTTTTATACCGCCCTTCTCCCGAAGGACTCAGCAAAGTCCTTCGTACAGCCAAAGATAAAAACAAGTACCCATATAAAATTTAAAAACAATTTAAAAACACATTAAATAATTTGGCCTCAATGTCATTAAAACATAAACAACCCATTAAAATTAATGTTTAGGCCAACCCAGCTTGTTGGAACAATAATGTCTTGAGGGCACGGCGAAAGGTGCATAAGTCAGGGATCATCCGTATCTCCGGGGGCAATTCATTCCAGAGGGCGAGTGCCCCCACAGAGAAGGCTCTCCTCCTGGGTGTCACCAGTCGACATTGTTTGACCAATGGTACCCTGAGGAGTCCCTCTCTGTGGGAGCACACTGGCCAGTGGGAGGCTATCGGTAGCAGAAGGCGATCTTGTAAGTACCCAGGTCCTAAGCCATGGAGCGCTCTAAAGATGTCCCAGGTGCTTCCTTGGGATATTTTCATTTGTCTGTTTATCAAATAGCCTAATTGGATGTTCTTTCTCCATCCCACCCCAATCCTTCCAGGGACCTCAGCCGACTGATGCGGCGAATGGATCTCGGGCTCCTGCTTATGGTGGCCCTCCACCTCCTCCGCCTGGCCCGCCTCCCCCTCCAGCACCCGCCTCCCCAAATTCTGGTTCAGATTCCTCTACCTCCCGCTCAGCGCTGTTTGCTCAGATCAACCAAGGAGAAGCCATCACTTCTGGTAGGCGGATAAATTAATTCAGCCACAAGTGAGCTAGCCACGATTCTGGAAGCTAGCTAAATTCTTGATGCATTTTTAAAAAATTTCCCAAAAAAAGAGTGGAGTGGAATGGAATGGACGGATGGAATTGTTCTTCAGTCTTCTATGCAGAGGATTAATCCAGGGGATAAGAGTTTCTGCAGGGTGCAGTTTTAACTGCATTCCATAACCCAGTTTTGCTTGTTTTTAACAGGTTGCCAAATGTCACAAATGTTAATTCTCTTATGTGGACAGATGGTTGGTGGGGCTAAAGATAGCAGCAACTTGGATGTTTACAACCGAAAGCAAAGTAATGTCTTTGTTGAACAGTAATTTGGCCTCAGAATTGCAAGGACTTAGAAAGAGATTCTGGGAGCAGATTCAGTTGAAATTTAACTCGTTCTGTGCTTGCATAACCTTTTGAGGAAATAATGGAACTAGAGAGTTACATTTCCCAAACCTGCAGCCATGGTAACGTGACCAATAGAAATAATTTGAATCGTTGCTTACATCTTTGGAATTCTGCACCCCAGAACTTCAGGATTTTTTTCATTCCTTTTTCTTGCATTAAGCAGAGCTAATTAAACTCAGTGTCCTGTGGGATTCCTGTGAATAGGGCAACTCCACAAGCACATTTCATTGCCCTGCAATGAAACACAGTAGTCTTAAATTCCAGGAGTTTCCTTTCTTTTATTTTTTTCAAGCATTTTTTTTAATTAAATGATTGAGTATTATAAAATACAAAATATAGAAGTAAATAGAAGAACATTAAGGAAGGAGGGGGAAGTGGGGAAGGGTAGGAAAAAGAAAAGAACAAGAAGCATTGACTTCCGACTCTGTCTGTAGCAATAAAATAAAACGTCAAGTCACAACTTTTTGTTTTTCCATAATAATATAAACAAATCATTTCTATAAAGATCTATCAATCTAATCTGCAAAACCCAAAGTCAGAGTTTCATTCTTTTCCACATCAAGCACGAAATTCAGAAGCGGTTTCCATGTGGAAACAAAAGCACTTACCGTATATTCTTTAATTGGAGTAATCCGTTTTGCCATTTCAGCCAGTTGCCTTTCAAATATCTCCATATAGTGAAGGGTTGGAGAGAGTTAGCAAGATGTCCCTCTGGCTCAGAATTACAGCTTTTGTGCCACCTGGATGCCATTGGAACACTTCCTATCCTTTTCCAAATTTCGAAATTGCTCATTTTTTATTTTTGGAGCAAATCAATTTTGTGATGGAGATGGGAGAGATTCCCTTGAATCATATATCCATCAATATATCCCTTGGTTATAAGTGCTTCATTTTTCCATCGGTTGAAGAAAAGACCCCGTGTTAAGAAGATTGTTCAAAGGGTGAACTCTCCTTAATTTGACGAATGGGCCATGTTATTGATGAGATGAGCAGCATATAAATTTAAGACACAAAAAAGTGAAGTTGGGAAAACAGAACTTTTTTTCCCCATATAATCTTTGCTTGGTTTTATGACACACCTCCTCAAAGCTGGACTTTTATTTATTTAAGGGATTTGTATGGCTGTCCATCTAAAACAGATCTGGACGGCTCACAACAACAGATCTGTTGCGTTAACTTGTACTGGACTTCCTCATTGCAATGGGATGTTCATTGTTTTAACTTATCCTTGCCAGAACTCCGTGAATAAACAGAGAGTGATTTCGATATAGGTAGTCCTCAATTTACAACCATTTGTTTACTTTGCCGTTCAAACTTACAACAGCACTGAAAAAAGTGACTGATGGCCATTTTTCACAAGTCTTGCAGCATCTCCATGGTCACTTGATCAAAATTCAGGCACTCGGCAACTGACCCATATTTATGACGGTTTGCAGTGTCCCGGGTCATGGGATCCCCTTTTTCAAACCTCCTGACCAGCCAAAGTCAATGGGGAAGCCAGATTCGCTTAACAGCCGTGCTACTAATTTAACAACTGCAGTAATTCAACTTAACAAATGTGACAAGGTTGTAAAATGGGGCATAACTCACTTAGTTTAAAAATGGTAATCTCGGGCTCCATTGTGGTCGTACGTCGAGGAACTACCTGTATAAGGCAAGCCATTTGGTCAAGTGTTTTAAGTTCCCAAGACAACACAACACATAATGGGTTAGCACAGGGGTCAGCAACCTGAAGCTCTGGAGCCGCATGTGGCTCTTTCATCCCCCTGCTGCGGCTCCCAGTTACTCAAAATGTACAACACAACCGCCAATGTGTGACACCCACCGGCACACAATTTATTAAGCTTTTCAACCCCCGGTATTTATCCAACCATGGATAAATCCAAGTAAAGAAAAGTTTCAGAAGAAAACAGAAGGTTTAATTCAACTACATATGCTAATTTTGTGGCCGCTCAAGAAATAGTCAGGCATGGGACGGGTTTTGTGGCTCCCGGTGTTTCCTTTTCTGTGGGAAACGGGTCCAGATGGCTCTTTTGAGTGTTTAAGGTTGCAGACCCCTGGGTTAGCAAAAGGTATGAACCCTGCCAATGATGCTTTCCCCGCCTAGGCTTGAAACACGTGTCCGATGCGATGAAGACCCACAAAAACCCATCGCTGAAAAGCCAAGGGGGTCCTGTACGAACGGGACCCAAACCGTTCACAGTTGCCAAGCCTGCCTGCCCAGTCAACATTTCCTCCAAATTGCCTGCAAAGAAGGAGCCTCCCGTGCTGGAGTTAGAAGGCAAGAAGTGGAGAGTGGTGAGTCCGCAGCGTTTCCCCTTGGGAGGCTGGTTCTTTGCAAGAGAACCTCTTCGGTTTAAAAGAGTCTATCAGACAGGAATCTGGGGAAAATCGCTTGGAGTGTATAAATTGTGTCGATAGAAAAAGCATGCATTGTCCGGAGAGGTGCTGCATCCTTTGTTTTCAAAGCCCTTGGCCTTCAAGAGGCACATTGGGTGGGGCGGCTTCCTTTCTAATAGGAGGAGGTAGAGCCAGGACAAAACCTCAATTACCTGGAAATGAAACTACAGGTAGCTCTCGCTTAGCAATCATTCAAAGTTAAAATTGACCATTCTGGTGAAAAAAACCCATTGGAGGAAACGGACTCCTTTAATGACCATGGTGTTCACTTAACAGCCGCCACAGAAAAAAAAGAGGCACATTCACATAGTGACCCAAATCTCCTGGATCACCAAACTAACAAATTTTGTAAGAAGCTGTGGCCTTCCTGTCTGTTGCCTCACAGGAGAACAATTCAAAAAAAGAGCTGCCCAAAGAATGAAGGATATAGAAGTACAAAACGATATAGTTAGCCTTAGTAAGGTGGGTAACTTGAAGTGGCTGAGCAAATACAAACGTACTTTTCAAGCAGACAGCTATTTGAAGTTACAACTGCCAAAACATCTTAGGGAGATACCGTATTTTTCAGAGTATAAGACGCACCGGAGTATAAGACGCACCTACCTTTTTTTGGTGAGGAAAAGAAGAAAAAGAAATCTGCCTCTGCCTTTGAGCAATTATCCCTTGTTGCAGCAAACAGCCTGCTTTACTTTCATTTTCGTTTTTGGCATACCTTGATTAGCACAAGGAAAAAAAAAATCTGCTCCAGCAATTTACCTCTTTGCAGCCAGCAGCAGAGCCCTGCGCAAAACAGCTGAGAGTCGGGAGGCCGATCCAATCAACTTGTGCCAATTAGGCTGTGCTGAAGCTGAAAGGAGCTGCTTTTTTCTTGCTGTTTGCTTGCAAGGAGGTAACTGCTGCGAGGCAGAGACCAAAGGGTGGGGGCCAGTGGGTGGGTGGGGCTACATTCGGTGTATAAGACGCACCTAAATTTTCACTCCCTTTTGGGGGGAGGGAAAGATGCGTCTTATACTCCAAAAAATATGGTATTTACGCGAGTGAGATTCAAACAGATTGACCCAATGGTCAGATATGGGAGATTCCATTCTATAACCTACAGTGGGCATAGAGGTAGAAGACCTGGCTCCCATCCTATTTGACTGTTGCTTGTATAAGGAGGTGAGAGACAGGTACCTTGGTCCATATACCAAACGAAGGACCCATTGGGATCCCCATATCAAAACAACTTACTTTATGTGGAGCCAGAACCTAAAAATAACATTTAACACAGCACAGGACTTAAAACAAACCAGTTCGGTTGAGATCTGCATAGGTGGGACTGATTGGGGGTAGATTGTAAGGGTGACACCGAAATATAATTTTATGTCATTTTATTCTATTTTACATATTTATGTATTAAATTATATTGTATCTTATCTGTAACTATTGTGTTTTACCCTACTCTTATGTTAAATTGTTTGTATAGGATTTTATTGGTGATATGTGTTTGAACGTTGTGCTTTGATATGGGCCTATAGGCTAATCAATAAAGCTATCTATATAGTGACCCACTTTATGACTACTATGATATGACCGTAATTCTGGGCTCCGTTACGGTTGTAAGTCAAGGACTACCTGTAAAATTAAATATTGATTAAATGATTCTGGCCTGGGTTTTGCCCCATTAAGAATTGCCATGAGATGAGAACGTGGGTTCTGTGCCTCTCTCTCAGTGAGTTACTACTATCTGCAATTCAGCTAAGAGCTCATAGCCTGATGCCCACTTAGTCAAGGGCATGTGGTGGAGCCCCCGCCCCAGCCTGTGGGTAGATTTTGTGTGTGTAATTCGTCATTGTTTCTGCTGCTACTGTTTGCATCTAGAGAAGGGGAGGAATCTTGAATAACAGCAGCTGCTCGTTCCCCTTTAGGAGAACCAAGAGAATGCCTCCAACTTGGTGATCAGCGACACGGAGTTGAAGCAGGTGGCCTACGTCTACAAATGTGTGAACAGTACACTCCGTATCCAAGGCAAGATCAACTCCATCACACTGGGTGAGTTCACACCAGTGGTGGGTTGCTCCGCCCACCCGCCTGGAAGTCTCTGTGCATTGCGCAGAAGCGTCACGCGCGAGCGCCCACAAGCAAACCGGTAGCGGCTGAAATTTAAACCCACTACTGGTTCACACCTCTTCTTGAGGATTTTGTTGTTCAGTCCAACTCTTTGCAACCCTAGGGGCAGGGGTGAAATGATCCTGGTTCGGACCGGATCGCCCAATTCGGTAGCGATGGCGGCGGGTGGTTCGGAGAAGCGGTAGCAAAAATCCTTCCACCCCACCCCACCCCACGCCCAGCTGAGCCGTGCGATCATTAGAGGCTCTTTTTTATTATTTTTAAAAGCATTTTTTCTATCACCTCTTCAGCCAAAAAAATGCTTTTAAAAGTTTTTTTTAAAAAGCCTCTAATGATCGTGCGGCTCAGCTGGGATCGTCAGAGGCTTTTAAAAGCATTTTTTTACCTCTTCGGCCGAAGAGGTTGTAAAAAAAATGGTTTTAAAAATAAAAAAAAAAAAGTTGGCCACATCCACTCAGTCACATTACCCCACCACCACCAAGCCACACCCACAGAACCGGTAGTAACAAATTTTACATTTTACCACTGCCCAGGGGCCATAGCGTATCAGCCCCTTCACCCCACCCTTACCCTCCACTGTCTCCTGGAGGTTGCCTAAGTTTGTGTTCATTGCATTGATGATGCTACCTGAGTTGCTGAATTGAGAATTAAGTGGTGGAATTAGGACCTTCTAAGATACGTTGGATAGGAAACCAAATTTCTAGGACAAATGACTTGGAAGTCTGAACTGTTTGGAAACAGGATAGAAAACAAAATCATCATTACACTCTGAAACCATTTTGGCTCCAAGTAGAGCTTGCCTTGGGGACTGGTTCACACATGTCGATTCATGTGTATGCTTCTGTGATGAAATTAACAGCTGTAGAAAGATCTCAGATATATAATGTACTGATTTTATAAGAGACATCTAGATGGCAGCATTTAGCTCAGGGATTGTTCTGATCTAGGCTTCCTGAGTCATTAAAACACATGAGTAGTCCCAAAAACCTCTTGTATTGCAACAGCTGTGAATTACATTCATTCACAGCTGAGTCCCAAATAGTTGCAAAAAGTCTTTCGGGATAATCACCAATCTTTATCTCCCTTGACATGCTGCCAAAGACCTACTTGGCAAAGCCACACGGAGTCCAGAATCAAACAGAGATGCCGACTGGGAACAGAGTTAACAATGTTGCTTTCCTGCAAAGGGTCCACGTGCCTTTGCTCCTCTTTTAAGCCTTATGGGAGGGGCCAATCATTTCCAGGCCTTACTCCCGAGCCATCCCTTTAGTTTTAACTGTTCTTGCCTTCTGGCAACTCTGCGCATGCACGCACTAGGAACAGGCCCTCCTGTTCCTCTGCCTCTCTGATGTCCGACTCTGGAGGCTCTGGAGTCAGCGCATCACTCCCAGATGGCCCTGGCCCCATCTCTGCTTCCGACGCAGAGCCCTCGTCCAGGCTTTCCCCAGACTCCAAGACTGGCCCATGTTCCTCCCTAGCCTCCTCACTGTCCGACTCCGCTGCCAGCTCCGCAGGCTGCTGGCAGACCACAACAGGGATGTCTACCCTTGGCAACTTTAAGACCTGTGGATTTCAACTCCCAGAATTCCCGAGCCACCAAGGTTGGACACTCCTGATTTAGATGATTTCAGACCTGCAGGAAATCCTGACATTTTAGGCTAGGCAAAACTACTCTGAAAAAAAGGAATGACTAACCCCTTCCATTCTGCTGACCGGAAAACTATAAGTTGTTTTTCATGAAGTCAGTAGTTGAGTTTGATTCTAGGGAAGACGTCCTTACTCAAACCTCAAATCCATGTGTGCTCAGCATTTGTGGCGATGGTGGTGTGTTTGGTTTTCTTTTTCTTGCATTTGATAATTGTGGGGGGAAATTTTATATTGGATTGCCCAGGATCGATCAGAGATAGATCGTAGCTAGGTTGAGGTTTATCTTCTTAAAGGAAATGTTCCAGGGATGAAATCCAAAATTTTTCTCTACCGGTCTGTGGGCGTGGCTTGGTGGGCGTGGCCAGGGAAGGATACTGCAAAATCTCCATTCCCACCCCCCTCTGGGGACAGCCAGAGGTGGTATTTGCCGGTTCTCCAAACTACTCAAAATTTCCGCTACCGGTTCTCCAAAACCTGTCAGAACCTGCTGGATTTCACCCCTGAAATGTTCCATGCTAGTCTCATTTCTCTCTGTCTCTTGCAGATAACTGTAAGAAGCTTGGGCTAGTATTTGATGATGTGGTGGGCATTGTTGAGATAATCAACAGCCGTGATGTTCAAATTCAGGTAAGGTCCCTGGTTCAACTCATCTTGACAGTAACTTCCTCCCACCAGGTATCTCAAAAGAGTTCCCAGGGTTGGAGATGAAAACGCTGTAGCTCACCTTCCTGCCTTTCGTTTCTATCTTACATTTAGGGAAGGAGCGGTTAAGCTGTGACCCTTAGCCAAATTTCTGCTAAGAATCCCCCTGGTTTTAGGAATCCAGAGGCCCCTTCTTGGTTTTAGGAATCCATACATTGCCCAGTCTTAGCGAAGGAGATGGAGCCCTTGGCTGTTTCTCACCATGGTCCTTTTTTCCCCCCCTAGGTAATGGGTAAAGTGCCAACCATTTCTATCAACAAGACAGACGGTTGTCAGGTCTACTTGAGCAAGGGCTCTCTAGACTGCGAGATTGTTAGTGCCAAGTCTCGGAGATGAACGTTCTTGTTCCGACAGACGGCGGTGACTTTGTGAGTTCTTTTCCATATTACTCGGAAGGGGGGTGTTCAGTAAGGCTGGAAAGGGGGTGGGGAGATATACCTTTTTTCCGGCGTATAAGACGACTGGGCGTATAAGATGACCCCCGACTTTTCCTGTTTAAAATATAGGGTTTGGGCTATACTCGCCGTATAAGACTACCCCTCTTCTAACGCACACCAAATAAAATTAAAAACATCAACTGGCTCACCCACAATGTAAAAGCAGCTGTGCTAGACCCAAAATGGCCCCTGCAACAAGCAAGAACCTCACACAGCCACAAAAAGCCCCAAAAAATAACTTTCACACTTTACACACACAAAATTCCACATAGTTTTGTGAGATTTTGTGTGTTTGTGTAGTTAGAGTAAAACACTACAGAAACACACTAAATCTCAGAAAGCTGCACAAATATTATTTTATTTTATTTTATTTTATTTTTATTTTTATATGAAAACTAAATTTAAAACTTCCTAAACTTTAAATGGCTAGGTCTAAAAAAGAACTAAAAAACCCCCAATTAACTATTTTTTTAAAGCTCCAAAGGGGAAAAAAACTTACCTAATAGAACAGGGTCTCCAACCTTGGCAACTTTAAGACTTGTAGACTTCAACTCCCAGAATTCCTCAGCCAGCTTTGTTGTTGGCTGAGGAATTCTGGGAGTTGAAGTCCACAACTCCCTGCCTGCTTGATTACAGGCAGGGAGTGGCTTGCTGATGGAATGGATTCAGGCAAGCGAAGCAAGGCAAGCGTTGCAACTAGCAGCTAAGGTAAGCAAGCTGGGGGGGAAACTTTTTTCTTTCTCCATGGCTCTGGCGATCCCAGCTGAGTTGACTGATTAGCAGATCGTCAGAGCTTGGATCGCCAGAACCATTTAAGGCTCGTCAGAGCCTTTCGGGCTGGTCTGCCTGATTACAGGAGAACGACACCGGCGTATAAGACGACCCCTGACTTTTGAGAAGATTTTCATGTGTTAAAAAGTCTTATACGCCGGAAAATACGGTAGGTAATCCTCAACATACGGCTGTAATGGAGCCTGCCCATTATGGTCGTATATTGTGTCGGTGGTAAAATGGATTGGCACATGCTTGACCTGATTTTGCAACCGTTTTTTGCGGCAGTCAGTCGTTAAGCAAACCCAGTAACAGCTTAGTTAGGTTTAACCATCGTAAACTGTGACCACGTGACTGCATGATGCTGCAGATGGCAATAAAGGCACAGCCAATTTTGCTGAGCACCTGAAATTTGGTCACATGGCTAATGGGGGAGGGGGAGTAGCGGCGGTGGGAACTTCGGAACTTCCCCTTTTCAGGTCAGCTGTAAATGTGAACGGTTGCTAAGTGAATAGTTGTATATCGAGCACCACCTGTACTCATTATAGAAACATCCCCCTCTTGCTGAGGCAGATGATGGTTTCGGAGAATTGCATTCCCGAGCAGATGTTCTTGGATCTTCAACAAGGGAAGCAGTTTTTCACTGGCAAAGGTCAATGCCCCCAGCTATACTCACACAGCTTATTGCACCTGGTTACTTAATCCAATTTCTGAATCTGCAAACAGAGTAAAACATAAAACTAATTAAAGTTTTTTTGTTTTTTTTTTAAATTTGATTTATATGCCGCCCTTCTCCGGAGACTCAGGGCGGCTTACAATGCGTTAAGCAATAGCCTTCATACTTTTGTATATTTTATACAAAGTCAGCTTATTGCCCCCACAAACTGGGTCCTCATTTTCCCTACCTCGGAAAGGATGGAAGGCTGAGTCAACCTTGAGCCTGGCGAGATTCAAACTTATAGTAATTGCAGACAGCTGGTGTTAATCACAATGCTATCAGTCTGCTGAGCCACCAGGCCGTGTGTTAAGCTTACGGATTTGGGTTCATGCAGCAGCTGCCAAAAATAATGCAAAGTGAGCATGTCGTGCAAAACTTCTGCTAGGCCAGGGGTCTGCAACCTTAAACACTCAAAAAGCCACAAAGGTCCTAACTGGAAGGCCCCATTCAATTCTGGAGCTGACTGGAAGTCCGGTTCCCCCACCATAGAGTCTCCTCCTAGAGCGGCATCCTTTTTCCTCTACCTGTCCTAACCAAAAGCCCTATCAATTGTTGAGCCGACCAGCAACAGGGAGCAGCAGCAGAGGGATGAAAGAGCCACATGCGGCTCCAGAGCTGCGGGTTGCTGACCCCTGTGCTAGGTTAATAACTGACCTACTGCATGAACCCAGCCAAGCATTTTAAAGTATAAAATCCTTGGCTGGAAAATAAAGAAACCAAAACTTTTAACTGGCTTGAGGATAACCCATCTGTTGTGGCCCGCCGGCAGCCAGTGGATCTGGCAGCAGATTCAAACATGAGGAGGTTGGGGAGGAACATGGGCCAGTCCTGGAGTCTGGGGAAGGCCCAGACGAGGGCTCTGCATCGAAGGCAGAGAGGGGTCAGGACCGTCTTGACAGTTGTCCGCTGCCTTCAGTGTGTTGTGGCTCTGTTGCCTGAGCTGGGCTATTGACAGATGCAGACTCTGAGAGTGAGGGAGAGGAGTTGGCAAGGCCTCCCTCTCCAGGACCCTCCTCTCTGGCAATGCCTCCGGAGGACACCGAAGGCCAAGAGATAGGCTCAGAGCCAAGCACGTTCCCGCAGCCACAGGTGGACAGCGACGAAGGAGATAAGTGCTGGCTAGACCCTCGGCAGAGGCGCAGGGAGAAGCGTGCGCAGCAGAGGGGAAGGCGTGCCAGAGATTAGCTGAGTCACTGGACCACATCCCACAGGGTATAAATGTGGGTTGGGTGTGATGGCCGGTTCAGTTTATGACGAGCAAAAACTAGAAATAATCCATGATCTCTGCATTACTGGACTTCTGCCTGCCTTGTCGGACTGCATTTGGACTAATCCTTGTATTGCGGAAACTTTGCCTGTTTTATCGGAATGCTTGCAGTCTAATCTTTGTTTTGTGTGAGTAAAGTCTGAATTGGCAGCTAGCCACTGGGTTGCTGCCAGCTTTATCTTCAAAGATTTTGTCATGTGGCTTATTAACTCCGGGCCGTCTGTGGGGGTGCGTGTGTGGGACAGGGACAGAACACAAGAGTTGGACATCAGTGAGGCAGAAAAATCCCTTGCTAAAATTTTTGAAGCCCACCCCTGGCTATACCCCGGGATGAAGGTACCCTCAGCACCAGGGATGTCTGTCTTCTATACACCAATCAATGACTTCTATGTTTTGTTTCCCCAGAACGAATTTCCTGTCCCAGAACAATTCAAGACCCAGTGGAACGGGCGGAAGTTGGTCACCACGGTGACGGAAATCGCCGGATAAGATGGCCTGGTGCTTCATGACCTCCCCTTCCTCTACCATCACTGTGGGACAAAACAAAAATTGCTTTCTGGGGGCCGGCTTTTAGATTCCTTGTCCCATTATTATTATTTTTTTTCCAACTCTCAGTCTGCTTCTGTCTTCTGAAAGTCCTGCCTCCCTCCCCTCACGGAAAATACCTCAGGCTGGGATTCGGGGTAGGGCGGCAGGTTCATTCCAATTCTCTCCCTTGACTGGCAGGAAGGTGTGGCATTCACTCCCCACTCCCTTGGCCAGGCAACACCCGTCTTGTCCGATCGATGTTAGGTGTCAAGCAGGCAGGCACCAAGGAAGTGTCAGTTAAACGAGGAACATTGGGGGAAGGGGGTAAAGTTTCTTTCAGGATATGGTACCTCCCCCCCCCTTTATAAATGTATGAAGTATGCTTGATAGGCATAAATTGGGGGACTCCAAGGGAATTACTTCTGTTCAACTAATCTCACCAAGAGATGCTGAAAATAGCTTTGCTGGACCAAAGGCTGAAAACGGGATGTGTAACATTCCTTCTCCCCTATTGTCCCCCCTTCTTGTGTTGTCCATGTAAATTCTGTGTTGTGCCATGATGTGGGGGGGGGAGGAAGGGGGGAAACTGCCCCCCCCAGTACAGGTGCCACAAGATTGGAACAAATTCTCCTTCCTGGGCACCTGTCCAGCAGTTCGAAAGCTGCCCCTCGACCCCTTCCATTCAAGCCTTCCTACAAAGGGAAAATTGTACCCGAGAGGCCTCTTTTGAACAAATGAACACTGTTCAGGACAGTTTTTCCCAGAATCTGTATCAGGTTGGGTTCCCCCCCCCCAGGGCAGAATTAATTCTCCATTCCAAGAGAAGTATTTAATTGTTTGTAAGCACAATTCCATGGTGTTTTGGTTCTATTGCTCACTGGCATTTATTATAGCCCCCTAGCATTCGGGCAACCCCTCCCTCTCTTTAGCTAGCTCTCCCTGCTGCTCATCTGCAGAAAGTTTCGTGTCACACAGCACTCTGGTGATGGCGCCCAGGTTGAAGGCATGGTACTGTAATGACCCACTACGGGGAGCTGCCTGTCTTAACTGTAGTAATGCAGATAGTCTCTTCCCCCCCACCCCCCTTTTTTGCCACGTTTTTGAGTTTTCCACTTGAAAATTTAACAGAAGATATGCAACTCTTATTTTGAAAACTGTCCTGTGACTCTTTACTTCTCTCCTGAGGCTTGTGGAATATTAAAAAAAAAAATCTTTCTTATGTACTTAAAATTATACTGAAGATAGAATAAAGTTAATGCCAAGTTGCTCATAACGTGTGATCTTTACTAAGTTTGCCACAAGTGTCTTTAGAGCTGGTCGCTCTTGTTCCATTGTTGAGTTTTCCAGAATTCTCACCGGAATGCTTGTTATCGCCTGCTTAAATCATCTGTGCCTTAGAGGACTTTTAAAATATACTACCTGGATGAGTCTGTAGTTTACTTAAGGGGTGGCTCAGCCCAGTATTGGGCTGAGGAATTCTGGGAGTTGAAGTCCACATATCTTCAAGGTTGAGAAGCACCGGGTTAAGCTCCCAACACACTAAGCCACACTTAGCTTATACTGTAATGCTCTGTGGAATTAGAAAAAGTGCATTTGTCAAGTATAAGTACCTAGAGACGATGTGTCGGTAAAGTCACACCAAGAGCCTGGTGGTGCAGTGGACTAAACTATTGTTAAAGTAGTATTTAGCTGCCAGCTGCCTGCAATGACTGCGAGTTCAATTCTCACCAGGCTCAAGGTTGACTCAGCTTTCCATCCTTCCGAGGTAGGTAAAATGAGGACCCGGTTTGTGGGGGCAATAAGCTGACTTTGTATAAAATAAGAACACCGCTGGGGGGGTGGGGGCAAAAGCCCTACTAAGCAGGGATATACAAAAGTATGAAGGCTATTGCTTAAAAGCATTGTAAGCCGCCCTGAGTCTCTGGAGAAGGGCGGCATATAAATCAAACCAATAAATAAATAAATAAATAAAGTCACTTTAGCCCTGAAGTTACCACCAATGCAATTTAAATTAAAACTTGTTTATTAGGCTGTGTCAAGTTGCAAAATATTCTTGTAAACCAAAGAAAGTATATGAATTAACATGATTTCAACATCATATTTTAAATCTTCTGCCCCGTTCTGGGAAATCTAATCAATGGCTTTTCTCTATCAGAATTCCTTCCAGCATTGATTGACAGCGATGCCTTCCACCCATTAAAGCCCAGTTTTCCGAGAAAAACCTCAGCTGCGGAAACACCTCACCCCTCCATGCTTCCTTCAGAACGCAGTCCTATTTAAACTATTCAATATCTCCATTCAGAGCAACTACACAATGGCATTTACAGTGCTTTTGAATTTCTTTAGGCTGACACTTCAACAGAATCACAGAAGTGGTCCCTCTGTCAAATGTGACTTGTATCACATACGCACCCGAAGTGAGGATTTTACACAGTGTTTCTCAACCTTGGCCCCTCTGCTGGCTGGGGAATTCTGGGAGTTGAAGTCCACACATCGTCCAGCGGCCAAGGTTGAGAAACACTGCATTACATATTCCCCAAGCAATGGTGACCAGCTCCATTGTGGCATACAAATACCATACTATCAGGTGACGGCTGATTAACATCTGCAGCAGGCAAGTCCTGGAGACAAGGCCAGGTTGGGTTTTGAAAAAAAGTTTAAATACTTGCAGTTGGATGTGACTAAACTGTTAATCCTGAAACGGAACAATAGCCTAGCAGATTAGTTAGAAAAAGCCGGTCTTTCAAGATATGCTCTCTATGGAACGTTTCCCATCTTGCCATGAAAAATCACCTCCAGCCACCAAACCCTACACTACGACAGGTTGACTCTCATCACCAGCATCGCTTAGAAACGGCACTATGTTCTTGAAGAACCACTCTTTAGTAAAGCGGAGATGGTCTCCTTCTGTCTGAAGGAAGACCAGTTTTCTTGCTTGGTCCATTTCCTTCAGGCCCAAACGATCCTGAAAAAAGGGAACATGCCAGTTAAACCGAGGAAAGTCAGAAACGAAACAGACACAACGGCAATGTTCGCATCCTAACTCAGCCAACCACATTCGGCCGTAACATTTAGGGTTGTAACCAAGACATCTGGCTTAATTGAGCAATTCATAGGATTCATTCATAGAGGTGCAGTGGTTAGAGGGCAGTACTGCAGGCTACTTCTGCTGACCGCCGGCTTCCTGCAATTTGGCAGTTCGAATCTCACCAGGCTCAAGGTTGACTCAGCCTTCCATCCTTCTGAGGTCGGTAAAATGAGGACCCAGATTGTTGGGGGGCAATATGCTGACTCTGTAAACAGCTTAGAGAGGGCTGGAAAGCACTGTGAAGTGGTATAGAAGTCTAAGTGCTATTGCTATTTTTCATGCGTTCTAGGGATTCACCCAATACAGCTGGAAGGTTTGGCAATTGGCATCATCTAGCCAACATTAAAAAGCTGAGCCGTGTTAGTCTTCATTATTACTTAAACGGAGGGATGGGGGAGTGACATAAGGATATCTCAGAACTATAAACTAAACTGGGAAGTAGACAAAAAGTTAAGGAAGGCAATAGCAAACCTCAGGTAGCCAACCCAAACCAGTTAGAAATAGCCATGTTTAGCACACGGATACAGCCACCATCCTTAATTGACTTAGTTAGGTTTGTTGAGTGGACAAAACTGTAGAGCAGTGGCCCCCCAACCTTTTGGGCACCAGGGACCAATTCCATAGAGAGAGGATTTTCTGTGGACCGGAGGGGAGAGGGCATGGTTTCACATGCTGCCTGAGTCCCGTGGATGGGGCTTCGTTTGTTTGCGCGACCCAGTTTCTATCAGGCCGCGTGCCCGGTGCCAGTGCACGGATTGAGGATTGGAGACCCCTGCTCTAGAGGTCCTTCTGCCAATCCCTGATGGTTTCCAATCCTTGAAGCAATTTTCAAAGTAATATTTATATAAACCAGAGGTCTTCAAACTTGGCAACTTTAAGACTTGTGGACTTCAACTCCCAGAATTCTCCAGCCAGCTGGGCTGAGCCAGTCTACTGAACAAGGTTGGTTGCAAATCTATGGGCTGCCTGCACTGGCACAACATGGCTCAACTTGGTTAGTTTTAGTTTTCCTTCCTTTGGCTCAACACATTGCGGAAACCCAGCCTCTGTGAAGTTAAATTTGTAGCTCAGTGGATTGTGCAAGCCCACGATTCATTCAGGTGCCCGGAATATATGCTGTGCAAACACTGCCTGTAATTTGGTCTCAGTGCAGTGCACTGTGTGATATAGTCTTTCAAATCATGGCTTAGCTATTGGGCAAAGCAAGTCATTACAATTGGCAGCTTAAGTGCAGTGTTCCTGAAAGACTTTTTCCTTCAGGGCCCCTTCCTTATTTACGGAGGACCCCCCAAAAGGACTTGTTTTGCATGGATTACGGTATATGGATCAACGGCTACCCTATTAAAAATTAAAATTGACCTGTGCACTGCCGTTATCGCTTCTCACGGGGGCCTGATGGGATTTTAATATTGAATTGTTTTTCAACGTAGGCTGGCAAATGTTGGCTTTTGAGGATCCCTGAGAAGGTCTTGGGAAGAGGTCTTCAAACTTGGCAGCTTTAAGACTTGTGGAGTTGAAGTCCACAAGTCTTAAAGTTGCCAAGTTTGGGGACGCTGATATAGACCTTCCTCTTATGTTGCTGCCTGAACAGAGAAATTAAGCCCCTTAGCATAATACTGGCTGCAATGTCAGACGGGATGTTTGTTTCAAGCTCAGTTGAGTTTTTAGTAATTCAAAGGAAAGACTGCAGCACTCAAGGTAATTACCTCCGTGTAGAGCGTAGTCTCTTGGAGAGGAATGGTTTCCTTAGTCTGGCCGCTCCGGTAGTAACCAAACCACTTGGAAGGAAAGAGAACAAGAAGGCATGAAAATATCTTTTATTGTGATCCCGAAGATGCTTTTTGCAAGAGGCAACTGGACTTTCTGGGGGTTTTTTGAAGACATTTCGCTTCTCATCCAAGAAGCTGCTTCTTTATTATGGTGATTGATCCCTGGGAACAGCTAAGAGCCAACCCTGTCATTCTTATTCTGGATTCTCAAAAGTGGGACAGGGAGGAAAAACGATAAATCCCCTACACCCCAAAAGGGGAGACCTGCCAGAATACCACCTCTGAGGATACTGTATTCAAAAGTGGTACAGGTGGTCCTTGACTTCTAACCATTCAAAGTTACAACGCCACTGAGAAAAGTGACATGTGACCGGTCTTTTACCCCTAATGACCATCGCAGCATCCCCATAGTCACGAATATCAAAATTTGGATACTTGGCAACTGTCATGTATTTATGATGCTTGCAACTTCCCAGGGTCCGGTGATCACCATTTGCCATATTCCCAGCCGGCTTCCAACAAGCGAAGTCGAACAAGCTGGGTTCGCTTAACAACCATGTAATTTACTTAGCAACTGGAATGATTCTCTTAACAACCATGGCGCAAAAGGTCATAAAATCAGTTGCGAATCAGTTTAACAACCCGCTTGCTTAACTGGAAAGTCTGGTCCAAATTGTGGTCATAATTAGAGGATTACCTGTAGGTGTTTTTTTTTTTCTTGGATTAAGAACTGCCTTTGGGCAGCACATAAAAGCTAAATCCCATTTTGATTTTCAGATGGTTACACCTTTAATAGCACTGCACCCTTCTGAGCTGCTCACCTCTGAAGCCGGGGGATCTACCATTGTGTCATTGAGGAACCGCACCATGACAAATTTTTTCAGAGTCATCAGGTTTTTCTTGTAAGTCTCATTGATGATCTGGGCAAACAGGCAGGGAAAGATAAATTTCAGAACGGCATTAATGGCCAAAAAAAAAATCAGATTCTACATTACAGCAGCATCCCGCTGCTTGTTCTGCCCCAGCTATGGACCCCAAAGAACGCAGCACACACAAAGTCCGTTCAAACCTTAGTTTACTGAATAAATCAGTCTTTTACAACAATGGCTGTTAATTAATTGCATTAACAGCCGCCAAGAATTCAAAGAATAATAACTGAAAACTTACTATGGTTGGCAGAATGCCCAGAAGCAATTTGCAGAATGCTGATAAGCAAGACAAGACAGGAAGGTATGTGAACTAAGTTGTTCCCTGCAAATTGCTTCAGTTGGTGTTCCTCCTTAAATAGGCTAAGGGAGTGGCCAATTAGCCCCAAGCCTTACTCTCGAGGAGACCTCCTCCTGAGGAGCCACTCCTGCCTTTTGGCAGCTCTGCACGCCCGTACATTGAGAAGAGGCTCCTCCTCTTCTTCCTCTTCACTTAAGGGAGCTTCTGGAGGTTCTGAAGGCCCTGGCTGAATCCCCGCCTCTGGCACATCTTCTCCAGCCTCCTCACTGTCCGACTCGAGTGCCAGCTGCACAGGCTGCTGGCACAGCACCACACCAGCCTCCTCACTGCCTGAATCAGCTACTAGCTGCACAGGCCGCGTATGGGCCACAACACTGCTACTGTTACCGTTTAATACTGGGTATATGTAAATGGAGAAGGGCAGATTGACATATTTTATATTCCATTCTTCAAAGTTTCCAGAATGACTTCTAGTACAAAATGTAACACAACAGAAAGTTGTTGTCAGAACAATGCCGTATAAAGGGCATTTCTAAGGCACTGAACACACCCAAACTTGCTTAGTTTCTTTAAAGCTGCTCTGTATTTTGTCTACAAACAACGTCCTAGGATTAAAGTGTAGAATGAATTCTGGTTTTGCTAACTGAATTTTCTTTCAAATGCTTCAAAACTCATTTTTCTTCAGGCAGAGGTCCCCATAGTTTAGAGCAGTGTTTCTCAACCTGAGCAACTTTTAAGATACAGATAGTCCTCGACTTACAACAGTTCCACTTAGTAACCATTTGAAGTTACAACGGCACTGAAAAAAGTGACTTATGACCGTTTTTCACACTTATGACCATTGCAGCATCCCTGGGGGCCACGTTTTGCAACCTTCTGACAAGCAAAGCCAAATTCACTTAAAAACGGTTTTACAAATTAGTAAACTGCAGTGATTCACTTAAAAGATTTGGCAAGGAAAGTCATAAAATAGGACAAAACTTACTTTCTCACAAAACAAATTTCTCACTTAGCAACATAAATGTTGGGCTCAATTGTTATCATAAGTTGAGGACTGCCTGTTATGTGGAAATTCTGGGCGTTGAAGTCCACATATCTTAACGTTGCTAAGGTTCAGAAATACTGGTTTAGAGTACCTGAGTTTGTTCCTCTGCTAAGCTGGGGTTTGTTGATTCATTCCCAGTCATTCATTCATTCATTCATTTATTTTCATTATTAAACTTACATGGCACCAGGGGTGGGTTCTAAATTTTTTTACTATCGGTTGTTACTACTGTGGCTTATTTTGTGGGCATGGCTTGGTGGTCATGTGACAATTCTTTAGGATTTAGCAGAGGTACTGGTCTACCAGGCTTTTAACTGCTTGCAGAGCTGTACCAGTCTACCCATTTATTTTTGCAGGCACTGGTCTACTCATTTGTTTGCTTTTAACACTGATCAGCTGTAGGGCGGCCCTTTGAAGCCCCACGGCAAGAGTTTAAAGAGTTTTTTTCCCTCTAGCCAACAGCTGGGACTCAGGAGGCAGCAATAGATTGGGGGTGGGGCCAAATAAAAGGTAAGAATAATGCGGGGGGGCGCGGGGGGGCAGGGACGGCAGAACCGGTTCGGTGACGTCATTACGTCACTGCTACCAGCTCGGGAGAACTGGGCCGAACCGGGAGGAACCCACCACTGTATGGCACCCATCTCACCAAAGCTGAGTCAAGGCAGCAAATTACAAATTGCAAACCCTGCAGCTCGTTTTCTAGCGAAAAAGCATCATGTCACATGTGAATCAAGAGTAGCCTAGTCGTGTTTTGCGTTGGTTAGAGAGCTTGGTTTGGCCTACCCGCTCCTGGTTGATGTCGGCCAAGAAGAGACTGCTTCTGCGGTATTGCTTCTCGTTCACTGGATCATGCCAGTATTGTGCCTGGACTAGGCTGTGGCAGAGAGAGAGAAAGAAGGGCAAATGCCAAATTATAAAAGAGCTTTTGATTTTTTCCCATTCCACCCAGGCATTTCTCCCACAATATATACTGGGGTACCCCCCCCCCAATATACCCTGTATCAGTGATGGCTAAGCTTTTTCTTGTCGTGTGTCAAAAGCACGCAAGCATGCCGGCACCCATAATGGAATGCGTGCACCCCCTGCAGATGCAGGCATGACCCTCCCATGCTCTCACCCCCCCGCACGTGCGTGTGCAACCCCCCTCCCCCCATTTTTGGCCTAGCAGGCCTCCCTACAACCTCCTGGGCCCAAAACCGGGCCGTGGGGGGGGCATGCCACACACCCCCGCACTCCGCTCCAACCCCCCGCGCATGCAAGCGATCCCGGTGTGCATGCACACGTGTTTCCTGCATGCACCTTGCTCCCCGCGCATCCAGAAAAATCAGCTGGCTGGCGGAGGCATGCGCACATGCGTGGTGGAGCTGAGCTGAGCGACGGCTTGCGTGCCCGCATAGGTTCACCATCACAGCTCCTAGGTCAACGAGCCTTGGTGGAGCAGCGGACTAAAGCGCTGTTAAAGTAGCACTTAGTTGCCAGCTGCCTGCAATTACTGCAAGTTCGAATCTCACCAGGCTCAAGGTTGACTCAGCCTTCCATCCTTCCGAGGTAGGTAAAATGAGGACCCGGATTGTGGGGGCAATAAGCTGACTTTGTATAAAAAAGAACACCGCTTGGGGGGGGGCGAAAGCCCTACTAAGCAGGTATATACAAAAGTATGAAGGCTATTGCTTAATGCATTGCCAAACTCACCGCTGCTGAATCGGGTATGTGTAAGCAATATCCAGCACTTTTCTCAACCAGTCACAGATATGTGAGCTCTCCCCAGGGCAATGTGGGAAACCGAACACACCTGCAGTAGGAAGAGAGGCATTTAGAATCTGCACATGGTCCTAGCTTGTCAAGCAAGCCCAGAAAAATTCGGGGGGGGGGGCACTCACCTGACACTAACACAGTGTTTCTCAACCTTGGAAGCTTGAAGATGGGTGGACGCTGCTGGCTTCAAGCTACCAAGGTTGAGAAACACTGCATTAATGCATACAGGTAATCCTTGACATACAACCATTTGTTTACCCAAAGGGTTCTGAAACATGAATATAGAAACTGAAGAAGCTTCTTGAATGAGAAGCGAAATGTTTTCAAAGGAAAAAAAAAAAAACACAAGTCAGTCCAGTTGCTTTTGGGACAAACCATCACTTGGATGATTGAAAATCTCCATAGACAACCATTCGTTTCAAAGTTACAATGGCACTGAAAAAAGTGACTTATGATCATTTTTCACCGTTTACGATTATTGCAGCATTCCCTTGGTCATGGGATCAAAGGTCGGACGCTTGGCAACTGGCTCGTACTTATGACGGTTGCAGTGTCTCAGGATCATGTGATCCCCTTTTGCAACCTTGACCACCAGGGAAGCCAGATTTATTTAACAACCATGTCACTAAATGAACAACTGCAGTGATCACTTAATAATTGTGGCAAGAAAGGTTGCAAAACGGGGCAAAACTGACTTAACAACCATCTTGCTTAGTAAAGGAAATTTGGGGCTCAATTGTGGTCGGGAATCAAGGACTACCTGTATTTTTTGGCACATCACTGGCTGAAAAGTTGAACGGTGGAGGTGAGGAAACAGTTACCTACCTAGCAAGTCACCCACTTTACACAGAAATCTTTGTTACGGGTAATTGTAGGATATCTAAAGTCTTGAAATAGGGTGCCCATGATTCAATACTGTGTGGACACTTCTCTGGGATCAGGGAGGTACATCTTTTAACATCACGCCGGCAGCAGAACAAAGCTAGGCAAAGTTAGCAAGGTGTTGTGGCCCGCCAGCAGCCAGCAGAGCTGGCAGCAGATTCGGACAGTGAAGCAGTTGGGCAGGAACATGGTCCAGTCCTGAAGTCTGGGGAAGGCTCGGACAAGGGCTCTGCGTCGGAAGCAGAGGGGGAGCCAGGGCCATCTGGTAGTTATGTGCTGCCTCTGGAGCCTCCAGAGTCTGACATCAGTGAGGCAGAAGAACAGTGTGAGCCTGTTCCAGTGCGCAGAGCTGCCAGAAGGCAAGAACAATTAGGGGAAAAAAGGGTGACTCAGGAGTAAGGCTTGGAGATGATTGGCCCCTCCCATAAGACATAAAAGAGGAGCAAAGGGACATGAACCTTTGCAGGAAGCAATTTGTTCATATAGTCAATTCAAGCTCTGAGAAGTCCATTTGACTCCGTGCTCCGTTTGGCCTTGCAAAACTAATTGATAATTAGGTCTCTGGCAGCGTTTCAAGGAAGATAAAGGTGGGTGCTTATCAACCTTACCCTGAAAGACTGTCAATTCCAGCAACATCTGTCTGGAATCTTCACAGGCTGTGAATCATTACAGGCTGCGAATGACCATAATTCACAGCCCTCTGAAATCAGATTTTGTGAAAGCCAAGAAACTGAAGGTAATGTTGAGAAATTAAAAGCCAGTAAATTGAGTTTTAAATCAGAAACAGCAAGTTTAGACAAAGATCTCAGGACCCATCCTAATAAACCTGTAGTTCAGGTTTAACATCCACTGGAGCAGAGTTTCTCCAACTGAATCCCTTGGGAGTTTGACAGGGATTCATGAGAGACTAAGAGGGAGGAGGGAGGAGATAACACAAACACAGCCAGTTTTCTATCACCAGAGCTGTGCCTCTTGATCACAAATCTCGCTTCACTCGCTAGAGCCTCGTTAGGGCTGAAAAAAGCTTCGAAAAAGCTACATTCGGAATATAAGATGCACCCAAATTTTCAGCCTCTTTTAGGGGGGAGAAAAGTGTGCTTTATACTCCGGAAAATACAGTACTTTCAGTATCTCAGTGTTTTTGCAGAGTTTTCCCAACTTGGATCTTGGATCCTTCATAACCAGCAGACACGTAGACCTTGAAAGGGTCAAATTCCACCTTGTTATGAGGACAGGTTTTATGACGTCCTCCAACTATGCTCATCTTTGAAAAACAGAGTTACCTTGTTGTTGACCTCCTATGGAAATCAGGTTGAACATAGGTGGAGATGGACATCTTTGCACCACGGCTCTCCTAAGGAGGGGAAAAAAACAGGTTACTACCAGAAAGACATCTTCCACCATGGAACAAAACCCAACGAACAAAATCCAAAATTCACCTTATTATAATTTTAAGCTTTCTGGTACAGCATTAATCATTGGTGTTGTGTGGTTGGGACAGGGATGGGAACTGAAGTTCCAGAATATCTAGATTGCCCCAGGTTGGGTGGTATAAACTATTCGGGGGGGGGGGGGGAAATGTAAAATTTCTTACTACCGGTTCTGTGGGCGTGGCTTGGTGGGGGGGTTTAATGTGGCTGGGTGGGCGTGGCCAACTTTTCTCCTTTTTTAAATTTTTCAAAGCATTTTTTCTACAACCTCTTCGGCCGAAGAGGTTCAAAAAAAATCCTTTGAAAAGCCTCTGCCGATCAGGCAACTCAGCTGGGATCGTCAGAGGCTTTTCAAAGCATTTTTTTACCATCTCTTTGGCCGAAGAGGTTGCAGAAAAAAATGCTTTGAAAAGCCTCTGACGATCCCAGCTGAGCCACGATCATCAGAGGCTTTTTTTTTTACTTTTAAAAGCATTTTTTTGGTGGAAGAGGCTGTAGAAAAAATGCTTTTAAAAGTAAAAAAAAAGCCTCTGATGATCGTGCGGCTCAACTGGGCATGGGGGGGGGAGCAGGGATTTTTGCTATTGGTTCTCCGAACCACCCGCCACCATCGCTACCGGATTGGGCAATCAGGTCCAAACCCCTGAAACTCTTGCTGGGTTCAGTGGATCCTGTTTGTAAAATAAGGCATGACTGGCAGCATGAGCAGAAACCTGAAAGCTATCAATCATGCTTTAGAAACTACCATGGCTGGTGTTACATAGGATACCAACTCAAAACAAATGAAAGTGGCATCATGGTTTTGTTTAATGAGTGGACTGGTCAACAGATAGGCAATTTCTGTTGACTATTTGACTATTTGGGAAGAGCTGTTTCCAAGAAGATTTGGAAATTGACTATTTCCCAAACAGATCTACTCTGAGCTCTGATGGCTCTCCAAGAGAACAGCTCATCACCTGCTGCTCTTTAATTGGAGAAATCAAGGACCGAATCTGAGATTCTCAGATATGCCACCAGGAATTCTCCCACTAACACGAGGGCATTCCATTCACTGACTTCATGCCAGGGTCTTCCATCATCCCCTATTTGAAATACTTACAAGAACTGCCCTCCCTGCGAAAAGCCCATGGCATTGTAGCCCCCTTGAAGGTTAGGATCTTTAGAAAGCTGGTCACACACTTTCTTGACTTGATCGTTGACATTCATGAAGAAGCTGTTCTCCATGTCCTAAGGAAAAGTGAGAGGCTGATGAAGAGTGGCTAACCAGCTGTGCGGGCTTCAATAGGTTGGCCTTACGGATAAGGTAGGAAACCTGTTCAGAAAAGCACGATCTGATTTCCAAAGTCCTAGAGAACAGGTCTATCAAGAGCTACCAGCCTTGATGACAAGGTGTAGTCTCCAAATGCACCTCTAACACCTGGTGCATGGGAGCAACAATGGGAGAAGAGGACTGTCTTTGTCTCATATGGCTCAGCTTCCTAAATACATCTGGTGCGCTACTTTATGTAGAAGAAGAGCGGGCAGAGCCGAGGGAAGGGCAGAGTTTAGAATCCCTGTGTTACCACAAGCACTGCAAGGCCAACCCTTCCTGAATTTTGTTGATCCTTATCTGGTGCCAATTTACTGTAAGTGTTGAACTTTAGTTGATCAGATTGTGTATAAGCTTCAATAAACCTTCTATACAAGGGATCTCCAACTGTGGCCACTTTAAGCCTGGCGGACTTCAACTCCCAGAACTCCCCAGCCAGCAAAGCTAGGGAACAAAGAATTCTGGGAGTTGAAGTCCGCCAGACTTAAAGTGGCCAAGGTTAGAGACCCCTGTTCTATACTACAACCTAACCGGTAGTTTGTTTATGGATACTTCTCCCTCTTGGTATGATGCAGATAGATGGTGCACCCAATCAACTAGAGGTGCACAAACTGTTTTGAATTCAAAAGACCCCGCCTCAAGTACAAATCAGGCTGTTCCAGCACCCTGCAGTCACTCTGCATCCAACATTTTGACTCTTCCTTTTAGAAGAGGGTCTGAAAACATCTAATCCACATGTCTGTATGCTGAAAGCATGCTTCGTATGAATCCACTCACGTCAATTAAAGTACTGCCTATCTTCAGAGACAGCACATAAATTCCTGGGATTTTCTCTTCCACCATTTTTTTAATATACCCCATGCTTATGGGGTTGCAACAGCTATCTCCTATAAGAAAAGAGAGAAGTTTCGAAAATCAGAGTGGCTGTCTGTTTAGGTTTCTTAATTATTTACAGCTATAAATATATTAACGGCATTTAGTCAAATAATAAGCAAATGTTTTTAAAATGTGTTTTCTATTTGTTGTTGTTAGTTGCGAAGTCATGTCCGACCCATCGCGACCCCATGGACAACGTTCCTCCAGGCCTTCCTGTCCTCTACCATCCTTTGGAGTCCATTTAAGCTCACGCCGACTGCTTCAGTGACTCCATCCAGCCACCTCATTCTCTACCATCCCCTTCTTCTTTTACCCTCAATCTTTCCCAGCATTAGGCTCTTCTCCAGGGAGTCCTTACTTCTCTTTAGGTGGCCAAAGTATTTGAGTTTCATCTTCAGGATCTGAAGATTCAATCAGGTGGCTCAAAATGTCTTGGATTGTGGCAACCCCTGAGATATTGGAAGACTGCTTTCATGTCTCCCCTAGTCCTTCTTTTCATGAAACTAGACATACCCAGTTCCTGCAACCGTTCTTCATATGTTTTAGCCTCCAGTCTCCTAATCCTCTTTGTTGCTCTTCTCTGCACTCTTTCTAGAGTCTCCACATCTTTTAAATCAATTTTCTCTTTATTCAAGCACAGCAATCTGATCCTGACTCTTTTAGCGGTCAGTACTGACCTTTGCCCCCCAATCCCTCCCTTTCCAATCCCCAATTCTCTGCTTCTCATTGGCTATCTTCCAAGTCACTTTCCTGATTCCTTCTTCGTCAGATCACAGGAATGTCTCCCCCTCCCCATCTCCGAGACAGATCTTCAAAGGGATTTAGCAGGCAAAAGTTCAGGCTTCTCCTCCCTTTATTTATATGTCAGTGCTGGGACGCTGACACACAATTTATGACATGTTTTCACCAGTGGTGGGATTCAAAATATTTTACTACCGGTTCTGTGGGTGTGGCTGGGTGGGTATGGCGTGGCGTGGCATGGCATGGCAGGGGAAGGATACTGTAAAATCTCCATTCTCTCCCCACTCCAGGGGAAAAATACTGTAAAATCTCCATTCTCTCCCCACTCCAGGGGAAGGATACTGTAAAATCTCCATTCTCTCCCCACTCCAGGGGAAGGATACTGTAAAATCTCCATTCTCCCCCCACTCCTGGGGGAAGGATACTGTAAAATCTCCATTTTCTCCCCACTCCAGGGGAAGGATACTGTAAAATCTCCATTCCCTCCCCACTCCTGTGGGAAGGATACTGTAAAATCTCCATTCCTTCCCCACTCCAGGGGAAGGATACTGTAAAATCTCCATTCCTTCCCCACCCGACTAACCTGCTTTCCAGCTCCTTGTGCAGGGCAATAAAAGAAGACCCAACCAATCAGCTGGGACTCAGGAGGCAGAGAATAGATGGGGGTGGGGCCAGTCAGAGGTGGTATTTGCTGGTTCTCCGAACTACTTAAAATTTCTGCTACCGGTTCGCCAGAACAGATCAGAACCTGCTGAAACCCACCTCTGGTTTTGCCAGAAACCAGTATTTCAGCAAGAAATATCCATTGCGTAAATGGGTTTCCTTAACAACTGCTGTGTTTTCTTAACGTTCAAGGTAATTTGCGTAACCACAACCACAAAAAAAGATCGTAAAATTAAATCTGCATGACTATTATTCCAGGCTCCATTACAGTTATAAGTCAAATCAACTTGTATGCTAAAGGAAAGGCTAATCTTCCATTTTACGATTCACAAACACTCCCACATGCATATTTTAACCACCTCAAAAGATAAAGGAACCAACTTTTCTGCTGAGAAAAACAAGAAACTACAGTATTTTAGAAACAGGAACTTAGTCATCGCTGCTTTCATTTTTATACCAACCAGACAATTTCTACAGCAAGAAACCTCAACTTCTTTCATGTTTCAGCCCTCAAATTCCACTGTGTGATTCTTGTAACTAAAATATTTTCACAACAAAGCTAGTATTTGATTCCAACCTTGGTGGATTTGAATCTATTAAGTGCATACCACCAATATTATATTTTAAATTTGCCACGTGAAACTGACTATTCATATCAATTCAGAAACTCCTGTGAACTCAAAAGCTTTTTTGTTAATTCCAAATAAATATGTATAGGATGTTGCCACAATTAATTTTCTACCAATGAGCAAAATAACTGATCACAAATAAATTCTTGCCAGGGGTACCACCACTCTTCCACTGCTAAGCATATGAAAGAAAAAAAAAAGGAAACAGACCATTAAACAATATGTGTCATCACGATATGTGTACCCCTTACAGAATCACAATATATAAAATGACTACAAGAATAAAATTTAATTTTACCAACTTTGCAAAACCCTTTTCCCCTCCAATTTTATTGCCCCAAACAAAACCTCAGGAGGGAAGTTGGGCGAGTGCAACCGACTAACCTTAAATCATTCTTGAATGCCACTGCCAAGGAAACTCATGAGTCTGTCTGTCTGTCCAGTACACTGTGCCCAAAGTTTTTACCACCCACACCTGAGGCTACGTGTAGGACAGGGTAGGGTGCCGTACTCTGGGCAAGGTGTCCAATCTTGACAACTTAAAAAGGGGTGGACTTCAACTCCCAGAATTCTCCAGCCAGCCATGTAGGGTCTGTTTGCCCTATAATCTACAGGTAATCCTCGAGTTACACCCACAATTGAGGCCAACATTTCTGTTGCTTAAAATCTGTTTTAACCGAGACCCATGACCGGTTACTGTAAAGCCCGCAGACCAAGATTTCATGCATAAAAATATGGCTAACCAAATACGGTTTGGTTTATAAGGTAATTTGATTCTTGATGAACGTATCTTTTATTTGTATGTACACTGAGAGCTTATGCAGCGAAGACAAATTCCTTGTGTGTCCAATCACACTTGGCCAATAAAAATTCAATTCAATTCAAATTCAATTCAATTCAAATTCAAATTCAATTCAAATTCAAATTCTATCCTATTCTATTCTTATTCTATCCTATTCCTATTCCTATTCCTTCTATTTCTATTTCTCTTATTTCTATTTCTCTTATTTCTATTTCTATTTCTATTCTTATTCTATCCTATTCCTATTCCTTCTATTTCTATTATTTTTATTTCTATTATTTCTAATTCTAATTCTATTTCTATTCTATCTTATCCTATTCCTTCTTTCTTCTTTCTTCTATTTCTATTAATTCTAATTCTAATTCTATCCTATCCCTATCCGTATTCCTATTCCTTCTATTCCTATTGTTTTTATTTCTATTATTTCTAATTCTAATTCTATTTCTATTCTATCCTATTCCTTCTTTCTTCTATTTCTATTAATTCTAATTCTAATTCTAATTCTAATCCTATCCTATCCCTCCTCCTTCTCCTCTTCCTTATTCTATTCTATTCTATTCTAACCCTGACGTAGAGAAGCGTGGAGCCCAAGCCCCATCATCCCCAGCCTCGATTGCGAAGCAGAAGCGAAACCAAGCAGCTCTGGCTGCAGGTGGAAGGGCGAGCCCGCTCCACCCCCAGCCCCGAGACCCTTTGAATTCCCCCCCCAAGGGCAAAACCTGGCTCACCCATGCCGTGCCAGATGACCAGCGGCACCGGACCGGCAGCGGTCCCCGAGCTCCGACGGTCAAGCCCGCCCAGCAGCAGCAGGAGCCCCGCAAGCAGCAGCCTCCCGACCGGCGCCATCCTCGAAGGATCACGTGACCCTCGGGTGTCACGTGACAGCAGCGCCGGTTTGGCCTCGCCCGAGGCGGGGGGGGGAGGAGAAACAGAGCTTCATTTTTTTTTAAAGCCCGAGGAACTCTGGGAGTTGTAGTTTCGAGGCTTTGCCCTGGGAAAGCTTTGCCTTTTTTTCCCCCGTCCTTTTCAAGAATTCGTTGCATCGATTTCATTTACGAAGGGGTGCGGCGGTTATTCTGGCAGGTTGGCTGTGCCGTTCAGCCAACGATGATGGGCAGCTGCATTCAGATATCCTAAACCGTGATTTAACAAGGGTTAAAATTAAGCCAGAATGATTGGTTCCATTCAGTGGGGAAATCCAATTTTTTTTACTACCGGTTCTGTGGACGTGGCTTGGTGCGTGGCTTGGTGGGCGTGGCAGGGGAAGGATACTGCAAAATCCCCATTTCCTCCCCACTCCTGGAGAAAGGATATTGCAAAATCTCCATTCCCACCCCACTCTGGGGCCAGCCAGAGGTGGTATTTGCCAGTTCTCCGAGCTGCTCAAAATTTCCACTACCGGTTCTCCAGAACCTGCTGGATTTCAACCCTGGCTCCATTCAGTATAGTGTCCCAAAATACATTATGATGTGCCACAATATATGAATTTAGGCAAATAAGTAGGATAGAGCTTAAGTTTAAAGGAGCTGCCATCCAACTTTGTTGAATCATTGTTGAGAAGGGAGGCCATGCAAATTGGATGGATGGATGCAGTGGTGAAATCCATTTTTTTTTTTACTACCAGTTCTGTGGGCTTGGTGGGCGTGGCAGGGTAAGGATATTTCAAAATCTCCCCTTCCCTCCCCACTCCTGGGGGAAGGATATTGCAAAATCCCCATTCCCGTCCCACTCCTGGGGAAAGGATACTGCAAAATCCCCATTCCCTCCCCACTCCTGGGAGAAGGATACTACAAAATCTCCATTCCCTCCCCACTCCTGGGGGAAGGATACTGCAAAATCTCCATTCCCTCCCCACTCCTGGGGGAAGGATATTGCAAAATCCCCATTCCCGCTCCACTCCTGGGGGAAGGATATTGCAAAATCCCCATTCCCGCCCCACTCCTGGGGAAAGGATACTGCAAAATTCCCATTCCCTCCCCACTCCTGGCAGAAGGATACTGCAAAATCTCCATTCCCACCCCACTCTGGGGCCAACCAGAGGTGGCATTTGCCGGTTCTCTGAACTGCTCAAAATTTCTGCTGTCGGTTCTCTAGAACTTGTCACGGCCTGCTGGATTTCAGCCCTGGATGGATGGATGGATCTCTACTTCTCTGTGTTAGTCTACAAAGAAAAGAATCAGAAGTATTCAATTGCAATATTCCAATGGAAGCATTCCAGGGAAGTTATTCTCATCTTTGGAAGCACAGAATTGCAGCTCTTTACGTTAATTGCTTGCATTTATTTAGATGTGCACTTGAATCTCTGAATGGAGAACTGCTTTTTGCATGTGTTTGTTTCAAACTGAATTGGGCTACCAGATCTCTGCTGCAAAACTTTAGACGTGAAATGACAACCAAGAACAACCAATTTTAAAGGCAACCCTTTGCTGCTCTCTAGTGGCCATCTGAGTTCTTGTAGTCAGGATCCATTCCTTCTCAACCTCACACCTGCTTTAAGGTGTTTGAACTTCAACTCCCAGAATTCCCAAGGCAGCATGTCCTTGACTGGGAAACTCTGGGAGTTGAAGTCCACATATCTTAAAGTTGCTTAGCTATTTTAATCCCTAGTAGCTTTGCTTCCGTTTGTTGTTCAAGATGCCTCCATAAGGGAGAAAAGTATTCCTGGCCATAAAGATGATCCTTAAGATGGTTGGCTGGTTATGTAGCATGCTAGCTTCCTCTTCTTTTACTTTTAATAAAAAGAACCAAGTAAATAAAATGGAGAAGGGTGTTTAATGCTCCTCAGGACCTCATTATAGGCCTATTAGTCTTCTATCCTCCCAATCCATGTGGTAAATTTTAGGGCATACATTGCAAGTTATGGATGTGATAAAAAATGCTGCTACGGTGAATGAACCCATTTTTATTTTCATGTTTTTAATTTACACCAATTCCAGGGAGGACCAATGCCATTAGTTTTCTTTCAAGTCTCTTCCTGGTGCTCAGTCCCAAGTGAGGATGATGAGGGAACGAATGAGGCCAACCGCTGATCCCTCACCAGAAGCTTCACTTCTTGTTTGCTTCTACAGCTGATGTGGTGATTTTAGTTGGTCCCCCAGCCTTCTTCTCAACAGATTTGATTTACACCCACAGCCGCCATCTGTCTCATGTCACAAATGGCTGTTGGAAGAAATATCCATCTGGTTTAGTTCCAAGCGGGGAGAAAGAGACTGGGAACATGGAGGCTGATTGGAAAGTTGGTTTATTGATGAACTGGACCACATGGGTTTGAGAGAGGGTGAGTTTTATACCTTCTCTTGGGCTTTGAACTTGAGCTTCCTGTTCCTGTGCAAGGACATGTAGTCTGTTGGCTGCTGTCAGACTCCCATGGGACCATGCTGGGGTCATAGCTGAGGTAGTCTGAGCTCCCAGGTTTGGTTGGAGCTTGCTGGGTGATGATGTAATGAAGAGGCTTGTGTTCTGAAAGGGTCTTGGGCTATTGTGTCTCAATGGCTTTGCCCTGGTTTGGATCTTGAGTGAGAGCTAATCCCATCACCCTGAGGCTGAAGGTCTTTTGTCTTGTAGATAGGCTGGCCCAGTCCTGCTGGGGCTATTAAGAAAGGTGGGGGCTGCTTTCCAAGAACATGTTTCTCTTTTAGGGAAATATAATATTCTGCCTTTTGTAATATTTCCCAATATTTTTTTTAATTTTATTTATATGCCGCCCTTCTCCGGAGACTCAGGGCGGCTTACAATGCGTTAAGCAATAGCCTTCATACTTTTGTATATATTTATAAAAAGTCAGCTTATTGCCCCCACAACCTGGGTCCTCATTTTACCTACCTTTGAAAGGATGGAAGGCTGAGTCAACCTTGAGCCTGGGGAGATTCGAACATGCAGTAATTGCAGGCAGCTGATGTTAATAACAATGCTTTAGGGCTCTTACTTAAAATTTTACATTTTATCTACCGGGTTTCCCCAAAAATAAGACCCTGTCCTATATTTTTTTGAACCCTGCCATGTACTCAAAAACCCGATTGGGCTTATTATCAGGGGATGTCTTTTTTGGGGGGAAACAGTAGTATGTTGTATTGTCACATACTCAAACACACACACACACACACACATATATATATGAAGACTGGTCAGAAATCACTGTGTGTGTGTGTGTGTGTGTTGATTCATTTAATAACTGTATTGCTTAGTGATAGTAGTCCCAGTCCCAATTGTGTCATAAGTTTGACAACTACCTGTATGTACCCTGTTTTCCCCAAAATAAGACCCTGTCTTATATTTTTTTGAACCCCAAAATAAGCGCTTGGCCTTATTTTTGGGGGGAGGTCTTATTATTTGGGGGCGTGTGGAGCAAGATGGGGCTCCTCTTACCATGTTACCTGATTTCCATCTCTTTCTCCTTAACCCGAGGAACTGGCGGGGACTGGCTGCACATGCGCTTAAATATTTTCGGGGTGGGCTTATTTTAACACATGCGCTCAAAAGCCCGATTGGGCTTATTATCCGGGGAGGTCTTATTTTCAGGAAAACAGGGTACTGAATGCCAGCATTGGGCAAATGAAGGCCATATGGAAACCTCCGTCATTTTCTATTCCTGCTTAGCCTAACAGACAACACATTTTCCTTCTTCCTAGTTGTGTACATGCCCCTAATCTTATAAACATCCTGCCGAGGCAGACAGGGGTTTGTGGGAAGGAGGGATGATAGAGTCCAGAGCTTCCAGCAAGGTGGTCCCAGAAGCAGTGCCCTCTTTCCTGGTAATGCTTCAGCTCTTGAATCAAGCCATCTGCAAAAAGAAACAGAAAACTGGCTGCAGAGATGTGAATACCCACACAATATCCTGGAGAAATCTGACACTACATTGTTATGCAATTTTGCTGCCAAATGTAAGCGAGACACTTCCAAGATTTCAGGAGGTGAACTAAGTATCTTGCTTGCTTTTAATACATTAGTTAACCTCCAATTTGATTATAGATGTTATTAGAACACAGTGTTTTTCAAACTTGTCAACTTTGAAATGGGTAAACTTCAACTCCCAGAATTCCCTAGCCAGCCATGCTAGGCTTTAACGCAAACACGGCTTTAACGCAGGAAACACACATCTTAAAGTTGACAGACACACGAGTCTGAAGTCCACACCTCTTAAAGTTGACAAGTTTGAAAAACACTCCTTTAACACAAGGAAACAATATTTTAAACACGAGAAACACTACTTCAAGCCAGGGAGTAAGAGGAACAAGGAATCCATAAACTACTCACATTGCTGCTGGGCTCCAACATGTTCTCCCCATGCCAGCCAGAGATGGGCATGAAGGCAACAGTGGCCAAATTGTAGCCAATCTTCTTGATGTAGGCGTTCACTTCCTTGATGATTTCCTGATAGCGGGCATTGCTGTAAGGCAGAGGTCTTCAAACATGGCAGCTTTAAGACTTGTGGACTTCGACTCCCAGAATTTTCCAGCCAGCTATGGAGAATTCTGGGAGTCGAAGTCCACAAGTCTTAAAGCTGCCAAGTTTGAGGATCCCTGCTGTAAGGAGATTCTGTGGAATCCATCTTGTTTCCTCCAATGATTAGTTGCTTCACCCCTAAGGTGTAAGCCAAGAGGGTATGTTCTCGCGTTTGCCCATTCTTGGAGATGCCCACTTCAAGTTTACCTACACCAATAGCCACAATCAGAATAGCACAATCAGCCTAAAGGGAAACCACCAAAACTAGATGATTTGCATTGGCCACCATGGTCCATTTTTCTTGGCAATAGGAAAGAATGTTTATATTGTCTTCTTATGTTCTTGGCAGACAGTCCAGGGATGAAATCCAGCAGGTTCTGACAGGTTCTGGAGAACCGGTAGCAGAAATTTTGAGCAGTTCAGAGAACCAGCAAATACCACCTCTGGCTGGCCCCAGAGTGGGGAGGGAATGGGGATTTTGCAATATCCTTCCCCCAGGAGTGGGGTGGAAATGGGGATTTTGCAGTATCCTTCCCTTGCCACGCCCACCAAGCCACACCACGCCCACAGAACCGGTAGTAAAAAAATTTGAATTTCACCACCGAGAGAGTCCTGCTGTTGTCTGTGGTCTCCTATCCAAATTTTACCCAGATTCAATCTTATGGTCAATTTCGAACTGAACCTGGCAGCAGCCATCTTTCTGCTTCTCAGTTGCCACACAGAGGGGGAAAGGGGGAAGGAGGTTGGAATGCATTACTAGTCACGACAAAGAGCTTTCTCATGAGAACCAAAGTCATCTCTACTGGCAAATGATAAGGTCAGGGAAGGAGCGCCTGAAGAGCCTGCCAATTAACCCAATTGGCCAATGGGACCTGTGAAACTTGGGGATGGGGTTATTTCCTAATTTAATTGTACTGCAACTGTGGGAAAGATTTAGATTTGGTTTTCCTTTGAAGCTGTGCCGATATGATGTACTCAATAAAGAAGACCGTTGAGAAGGAGCCAAGTCTGAGAGTTCTGATTTGCTTGGGTTCGTTAGTCGTAGCCTTGACACTTGTTTCGTTTCCAAGGCCAGCTAAAGTCTGCTACCTCCTCAGACAATGTAAATTTAATTACGTTTATTTTCAGTTCCATGTATGCAATTCGGTTCTGCTTCCAGTCCATTTAGGTGGTCCTAGCCATCTTTTTCTGAATTTTATTTCAATCTTTATATTTTCTCCTGGCTTCCAACTCTGGGTGAACCCTTCCAGACAGACAACAGGGAGAATCTTATATGCACAAAGAGCGAGAGGCACACTAATTTGCACCTTGGAAGAATAGATGATGAAGGTGATGGAGTTCATGGAGATGGCAAAACTGACTGGTTTAGCTAAAGAAAAATATTTATCTAGTTTTTGTCTCTACTTACAAAGCCCTTCTGAATTTTTTTTACTCAAAAACTGGGGGGGGGGAACTGAAACTTTAGGTTTTGATGATTAGAATGATTTTGTAATTTTAGAAACAGCTCAAAATGTTGTAAAATATAAAGCAAAAGATTGATATTGTATTCATTTTGTAACTTAGTGGGTTGAACCAAAACTTTCCCTATTATCTAAACAACCTCGCAGCTGCCCAGGGTAAGAATGAGATTCTAGAGAAGGAAGAATGTTAAAGCAATAGAAGACCAGAAACTTCTGGATTCCTCTGGGATATTCTGTCCCCTGAAACCATAAAGGCTAAAGCCATCCCCTGTGACAGAGTTCATGTGGACTTGTGAACCATGGTTTATGGCAGAGGTCTTCAAACTTGGCAGCTTTAAGACTTTGGACTTCATAGCATAGCTGGCTGGAGACTTCTGGGAGTTGAAGTCCACAAATCTTAAAGCTGCCAAGTTTGAAGACCTCTGATTTATGGTATTTGGGGGGCAGAATTAATTATCTGCTTCATTCAGGAAAGGCTGGTTGGTCCCAGAGCACAACACAAAGTGATGTGTGGCTCTCATCAAAGACACAATTTTACTCCACATAGTAAACCAAGCCAAACTTGAAGGAGTGCAGGATGGCTTAGTCGAGTGCAACATGTGAAGTCAGCCCCTTGGTCAAAATGGAGGCAGTTTCCTGCCAGTTGAAGTGGAATGTTTGCTCCCTAAAATTCTCAGGGGATTGGACCGTGTCTGTTGAAAACAGGCAGTTGGTGAGGCAGTTGGGTGTAGGAAGGCTGCTATGCCTTATTCACTTTGGATTTTGGAAAGACAAATCACCTGTCCGAGAGGATCTAGACTGATCTAGAGCGCCATAGAATCCAAGATCTGGAGCAATCTCCCCTCTGTAGGTATAAGTACATTAATGGGCATTAATAGCCTCCCAATATTTTATTATTGTCTTACAAGATAACATCCTTATCTTGCTTCAGGATGAGAACTAAAACATAGATTAAAGAACCCAACTGATTTAGTATTTTAAGCCCTGGAACTTTTAAGCACTTAATATAATTAGACTTAGCAAAGCTCCTGTCTGTATGGCAAATTATTATCATTATCATCCTAATTTATCTTGTAACTGCTTTTCCCCCCAGAAGCTGAAAGTATGTGCAAAGACCAAAAGAATAGTCTCCAATAGTTTAACAATATTGATAAAAAGAACATTAAGACCATGAAAACAATTAAAGTTCAACTTGTATAGAGTCAGTTCTAGAATAGAGAATCATTTAAGATGATTCTAAATTGCAAAGGAAGCCAAACAGAAAGACATTTGTGGATCTTATAATAGGTATCTATATGGTGTTTTTTTTTACCCCAGATGCAGACAGGGATCCCACAGGGATTCAAAACAGTCAAGAAAGTGGCTGTTTGTGTATTCAAAGTACAACCCCTCCTCTTTTAATGTGCATCAGAACAATGTAAAGTTGACATATCAATTGCACAACCAGAGCTGCCATCTTTGCCATCTCAGCAAAGCTGGCTGAGGAATTCTGCGAGTTGAAGTCCACAAGTCTTAAAGTTGCCAAGGTTGGAGACCCCTGCCCTAAGGCTCAGGGAGAGTTGGAATCTTGGTTTCCCGTCTCCCAAGTCCAACTCCTTCAGCCCCACATCATGCTGGCTCTCTTCTCACACGGGCTTTGTACCTGGCAATTCTGTTCCTCCCAAACTATACAAGGTCTAGTCTCATTTTCCTCCCTTTGTCCTCCTTCCCCACCCTGATTAGGAAGGTCCAGAAGATGGAAAAGACGCTTCAGAATAAGAATAGAAGGGAAACGTGCACCAAGGTTCCAGAGATGGAAGAATATGGCGGTCGCGCTCCATTGCTTCCAGCTCAAATGCCTAATGATGGGAATTGGCATAGTCCCAAGATGCCTACACCCTCAAAGCCAGACCATTTAGAGTATTCTCGCACACCAGTTCCTTGGTCCAAACGCAAATTCAGCCACAAGCCAGTAGGTATGTATCTTTTGCTTTTTTTTCCCTTTCTTTCTTTCTTTCTTTCTTTCTTTCTTTCTTTCTTTCTTTCTTTCTTTCTTTCTTTCTCTTTCTTTCTTTTTCTTTTTCTTTCTTTTTCTTTCTTTCTTTCCTTCCTTCCTTCCCTCCCTCTCTCTCTCTCTCCCCCCCACCCACACAGACAAGGTTTAAGCTTTTCTGGAGCTTAACGTTTCTGTTATTTTTTTTTTCTTGTGCATGTCTATTTCTGGTCCATCTTATTGAGTTTGATCAATGTCAGGCTCAAAGAACCAATAAAGACACCTGGTGATTCTTCCAAGATGAGTTCTTTATTGTTTCCACACCTATAGACAGAATCTTGCCAAACTGAAACAAACGATCTGCATCTACAACATACTTCTGGGAACTGTTATGGAAGGGCTGCCTTCATCCTCTTTCTCGCACACAAAACATCTGAATTGAGTTGTCTCTTATTCTTCTGGAAAGCACCCCCTCCTTCTTGGGAATTCATCTGATTACATTCCATCACAATCAACCAGGGATGGGCTGCTGGGGTTCGGGAGAACCTCTAGCTAAGATTCTGTGCAGTTCGGAGAACCCCCAAATCCCATTCTTGGCTGGTCCTTCCCAACCCTCCCCTCCCAGGAGTCTCCACATGCCCTGTTTTGGATGCAGATAAGTGCAGGGCACGTGGGGAGGCTCGAGGACGGGAAAAAAAGGCCTACCAGAAGTTCAGGAAGGCCAGAAATAGGCCCATTTCCAGCCTCCAGAGGGCCTCTGGAACCTGGGGAGGCTGTTTTCACCCTCCTGGATGCTCAAGGAAAGCCTCTAGAGCCCAGGGAGGGCAAAAACGCCCCCCCCTCACCGCCATGGTAAAGAAGGCTGACTAAGACATGCCCACCATGGCCACTCCAACCCAGCAATGGGGCAGAGAAGCCCTTGCTAAATTTTTTGAAGCCCACCCTGCAATCAACCCTTGTTGATTGCAGGGTGGGGCCAGCCAGAGGTGGTATTTGCCAGTTCTCCGAACTACTCAAAATTTCCGCTACCGGTTCTCCAGAACCTGCTGGATTTCACCCCTGTGGGAAACCTGTCTGTGCCATAATTCTCGCCACCTTTATTCCAGCAGGTGAAGGAAGGAAGCTTTCTCTCACCACCTCCACAAAACGATCAGGAAGACTAGCAGCCTTGGCAGCTGCAGCTATGAAGAACAGAGGCCACCAAGTGCAACAGGCCGAAGACATTGTGAAGATGAAGAAGGCCAAAACTCTGCACTCAGGGCATCCAGACAAAGCCGAAGCAGTGGATGTTCTTGAGAACTTCATAGCCCACTTTCTCACTTACCTGCATGAATGTCCAGACAGACCTGACTTCAGGGATACCAGAGAACTAATCCCAGGAGATAATAATGCCTACGAACAGGTATGGACAGCAACTATCAATAAAGTATTATAAAAACTCTGGCTAATTTACCACAGTGTTTCCCATTTTCCAGATGTGTGAGCTTCTATTCCCAGAATTCTTCACAATGGCCATTTTGGCTGGAGAATCCTGGAAGTTGAAATCCACCAATCTGGAAGTTATTCAAGTTGGGAAGCATTGGAATAGAGCAGGGGCTATCCACACAGGAGGTAAAAAAAAAAAAAAGCAAGATGGCAGCCATGCCTAGGTGACCAAAGCCCAGGGGTGGGCTGCTGTGGGTTTGCAGGGGTTCGGGAGAACCTCTAGCTAAGATTCTGTGCAGTTCGGAGAACCCCCAAATCCCACTCCTGGCTGGCCCTGCCCACCCCTCTCCTCCCAGGAGTCCCCACACAGATCGTTTTGGATGCAGGTAAGTGCAGGTCACGCACGGAGGCTCGGGGAGGGTGAAAAACAGGCCTACCGGAAGTTCAGGAAGACTGGAAACTGGCCCATTTCCAGCCTCGAGAGGGCCTCCGGAGCCTGGGGAGGCCGTTTTCGCCCTCCCAGAGGTTTGAGGAAAGCCTCTGGAGCCCGGGGAGGGCAAAAACGCCTCCCCTGCTGTGGTGCAGGAGGCCGATTAGGCCACACCTACCATGGCCACAGCCATCCAGCAACCTGGCAGAGAACCCGTTGCTAAAATTTTTGAAGCCCACCCGTGCCAAAGCCCTACCTCCTGTTAGATGGACAGACACAGGTAAAAAGGAGCGATGGTGCTTCAATTGAAGAGGCAACTTGACTTTTTGATTTAAATAAAAAAATGATTAAATGCCCAAGAAGGAATTCTGTTAATTCTACCTAATCTAAATAAGAGATCTTCTCTGAATTATTGGTTTGCCTTTAGTTCCTACGTCCAGGTGAGTTTGAGGTCCTCCTGACCATCCCCCTTCCGGATTGTACCCAATACATGGAAGTAGAAGGCTACCAAGGCCTTTTCTACAACTTATCCCTCCTGAAGAAGTCCCATCATGGCTTCCCTGCAACTTTTCTCCTGGAAGATGAAAAAACCATATCCCCAAGGAACATCACGGAGGAATTCTGGAAGCAGGTCAATGCGTTCATCGACGTTGTTTATTCAGGTGAGATTTCCAGATGGGACAGCAAGGGGAATACAGGTAGTCCTCGCCCCAAATTTCTGTTGCTAAGATCATAAGTACTCCCACGGAGATCTATTGTGACTTTAAACCAGTGGTGAAATCTAAAATTTGTTACTACCGGTTCTATGGCGTGGCTTGGGGGGGTAATGTGACTGGGTGGGCGTGGCCATTTTTTTTTTACTTTTAAAACCATTTTTTACATGTAAAACCATGTAAAAAAATGCTTTCAAAAGGTTCTGACGATCCCAGCTGAGTTGCCTGATCATCAGAGGGTTTTTAAAAAACCCTCTGCCGATCAGGCAACTCAGCTGGGATCGTCAGAGCTTGGATCGTCAGAACCATTTAAAAGAAAAAAAGCCTCTGATGATTGCGCGGCTCAGCTGGGCATGGAGGCCGGGGACAGGGATTTTTGCTACCAGTTCTCCAAACCGCCCGCCGCCATTGCTACCTACTCGCCCAAGCCAGTCCGAACCGGGAGCACTTCACCCCTGCTTCAAACAGTCGTTAAAGCGACTGCAGGGCTACCTGCATTGGGGAGGTACATAGAAGGAGAAGAGAAGGAAGATGCAGTAACAACTTTCCCTCCATATTCTGTCTTCCGTCTTACATCGCATTCACACGCTTGACCTGGGGTGGAGGCTGTTCTGTTTTGCTCCGCTTGCAATCTCTTGGGGGACGCTTTCGTATTCACCTGATGAACGATCCGCTTGTTGTCTCAGTACCTTTCCCAGGTTGGCAGATGAGGCTGGAGAAAAAGAAGCCCAAATGTCCCATGGTTAACCTGGTCCTGCTGGATGATTGTGGTGCTATGTTCATGACCATGAACCTCGTCCCTCTTCTGGAGTTCACCGGCCAATGGCCAGGTACAAAACAGTCCAGAGAACTGATGGAGGACAATCTCGTGGCACGTCCGACGGAGAGGTTATATTTTGTTGCCGAACAGTGTCCGGGGAGACATAATAAAGGTAACAAATCCCTGGGACCCGAGCTGGCACTCAGCAAAGACTTGTTTTCATCCAGTAAAATAATTTTGTAAATATGCCAGACAAATGTTGCTAGCTTGTCAAAAAAAAAAAAAAATAGAACGAGAGTTGAAAAAGAAGTGCAGGTAGTCATCGCCGTACGACCACAACTGAGCCCAAAGTTTCTGTTGTTAAGCAGGTTTTGGGCCGTTTTATGACTTTCCTTGTCACAGTTGTTAAGTGTATCACTGCGGTTGTTAAGTTAGTTAAAGGAATCTGGCTTCCCCGTTGAAGGTCGCAAAAGGTGATCGCATGACGCTAGGACAGTGGTGGCTAACCTTTTACTCACCGAGTGCCAAACAGGTACGCCCTTCACTTATGCGTGGCTCCTCCCCTGGGCGCTGCGTGCATAACCACACCATTTTCACATGCGTATGGCCTTTGGGTGCCTCCCCCCCCGTGTACTGCACGTGCAACCGCACCATCTGTGCATGCACATGGTTTTCACACGCGCAATGCACACACGTGACTACTATCTGTACATGTGTGCGCTGCGCCCATGCACTCACGCGCACATGCATAGGTGTTTTGGCCTGTCAGCGGCCTGTGCAGCTAGTAGCTGATTCCAACAACGAGGAGGCTGGTGTGGTGCTGCGTCAGCAGCCTGTGCAGCTGGCGCTCCAGTCAGACAGTGAGGAGGCTGGAGAAGATGTGGTGCCAGAGGCGGGGATTCAGCCAGGGCCTTCAGAACCTCCAGAAGCTCCTTTAAGTGAAGAGGATGAAGAGGAGGAGCCTCTTCTCAATGCACGAACACGCAGAGCTGCCAAAAGGCAGGAGTGGCTCCTCAGGAGGAGGTCTCCTCGAGAGTAAGGCTTGGGGCTAATTGGCCACTCCCTTAGCCTATTTAAGGAGGAACGCCAACTGAAGCAATTTGTAGGGAACAACTTTAGTTCATTCTCCTTCACGTCTGCAAAATTGCTTCTGGGCTTTCTGCCAACTCTAGTAAGACTGTGATTACCTTATCTTAGAATTCTGGTAGGCTGTTAAGACAGTTCATTAACAGCCTTTGAATTATAAAGGCTAAGTTATTTGAGTATAATAAGCTTTGTATAGAGTTTGTGTGTGCTGCGTTCTTTGGGGTCCGTAGCTGGGGCAGAACAATAGGAGAGCTCCAAAGACCAGTTGGGTCCCCCAAATTGCCCACATGCGCATTGGAGGCCCGAACACCAGCTGGGGCGCGTGAGCATGTGCAGCTGCAGGTGAGTTGGGCGACAGCTCGTGTGCCCGGAAAGATGGCTCTGCGTGCCACCTCGGACATGCGTGCCATAGGTTCGCCATCACGGCCCTAGGACACTGCAACTGCCACAAATATGAGTCAATTGCCAAGCATCTGAATTTTGATTATGTAGCCGCATCATCATGTGTGGAAAATGGTCATAAATTATTTTATTCAGTGCCATTTAAACTTTGAACAGTCTCTAAATGAATGGTTGTAAATTGAAGGCTATCTGTAGTGAGAAACTCATTTCTCCTTTAGTAACTCCGTTAATGTTTTATCCCAAATGTAGGATATCGATTTCATTCTTGTAGGTACAGATAGTCCTTGACTTATGACCAGGTGCTTAGCAATCATTCAAAGTTATGATGGACCCCTGAGAAGTTACTTATGACCTGGTTTCAAAGTTCCAAATTTGCCCTTCCCTCCCATGGTCACGGGCATTTTGGGCACTCTGCAACTAACCTGCATTTTGGCTGTTTGTGTTGTGGTCCACCAGCAGCCTGCGGAGCTGGCAGCAGAGTCGGACAGCGAGGAGGCTGGGGAGGATCATGGGCCAGTCCTGGAGTCTGGGGAAGGCTCGGGCGAGGGCTCTGCATTGGAGGCAGAAAAAGGCCATCTGAGAGGTACGTGCTGCCTCCGGAGCCTCCAAAGTCGGACCTCAGTGAGGCAGAGGAACAAAGGGAGCCTGTTCCCAGCACGCACATGTGCAGAGCTGCCAGAAGGCAAGAACAATTAAAACAAAAGGGATGACTCGGGAATAGGTCTGGGAGATGATTGGCCCCTCCCATAAGACTTAAAAGAGGAGCAAAGGCATGTGGGCCTTTGCAGGAAGCAACGTTGTTAATTCTGTGCAGTTTAAAGTCTGAAGCTCTGTTTGATTCTGGACTCCATGTGGCTTTGCCAATTAGGTCTTTGGCAGCGTGTCAAGGGAGATAAAGGTGGGTGATTATCAGCCTTATCCCGAAGGGCTCTTTAAAACTATTTGGGACTCATCTGTGAATGAACAGAATTCACAGCCGTTAAAATAAAACAGGTTTTTGGGACTGCTCGTGTGTTTTACTGACTCAGACAGGAAGCCTAAGTCAGAACAGTTTGAAGTACCCCACACATAACTACAATTTATGTCAGTTTGGTCAGAAACTAGTTTCTACTTCTGACAAATCCACCCCTTAGTGAACAATGGCTTTGCTTAATTGCAGATTGTACAGATTTCAATACCTGTCCTTCTCTCTCCCCTTATATTCAATATATTGTATGTATTTCAGAAACATGGAGAATTTCCTTCTCGCATGAGGAAAAAGAGATTTTGTACCACCACAGCAGTCCTCTAGCATGCTACAGACACCATGGATCACAATGCTGCAGGTATGCGTGCCTAGATTATTTTACATAGTCTAAGTTGGCCTGAATTTGCTGAAAGTACCAAAAGACCCCAAAAATATTTTGATTGCATAACCCTGATGGGATGATGATCAAGTTCACTCTTTCCCAATCTGGCATCTTTCAGGGGTGCCATGCCATTTCTCAGAAACTCTAGGGTTTTGGTCGCCACAATATAAAAACAGAGGTTGAGAATCTAGAAAAAGTGCAGAGAAGAGCAACCAAGATGATTGGGGATCTGGAGGCTAAAGCATATGAAGAACGTTTGCAGGAATTGGGTAGATCTAATTTAAAGAAAAGAAGGACTAAGGGTGACATGACAGCACTGTTCCAATATCTAAGGGGTTGCCATAAAGAAGAAGGAGTCAATCTGTTCCCCAAAGCATCTGCATCAGGGGTGAAATGCTCCAGGTTCGGACTGGATCGCCCGATCCGGTAGCGATGGCAGTGGGTGGTTCGGAGAACCGGTAGCAAAAATCACTGCGTGCCCTCCCCCCATGCTCAGCTGGGATCGTCAGAGGCTTTTCAAAGCATTTTTTTCTGCAACCTCTTGGCCGAAGAGGTGGTTAAAAAAAATGCTTTGAAAAGTCTCTGACGATTCCAGCTGAGTTGCCTGATCGCCAGAGGCTTTTCAAAGCATTAGAAAAAATGCTTTGAAAAGTTTAAAAAAAAAAAAAAGTTGGCCACGCCCACCCAGTCACATTACCCACCACCACCAAGCCATGCCCACAGAACCGGTAGTAACAAATTTTACATTTCACCCCTGATCTGAAGGCAAGACAGGAAGCAATGGATGGAAACTAATCAAGGAGAAAAGCAATCTAGAACTAAAGGAGAAACTTTCTAACAGTGAGAACAATTAACCAGTAGAACAACTTGACTCCAGAAGTTGTGAGTGCTCCACCACTGTAGGTTTTTAAGAGATTAGACAACCATTTGTCTGAAATGGTATAAGGTTTCCTGCCTGAGCAGAGAGTTGAAGACCTCCAAGGTTTTCCAACTGTCATTCTAGAGGAGCATTAGATTAGAAGAAGCTAAAAGACCATGTTGCAACCCTTCTAACAATGAATCATCGACATCCCCACTCCCAAATCACCCTGATAGTTCAGGAAGGCCTGGACTAGAATTAGGCTCGAATTGTAATGTTTTCTTTTCTTTTTTAATGTTCCAGGAATGATTGTCTGAAGATGCTACAAGATCTGGTGGATTCTCTTAAGATGGAACACCCACTAATGTTGGCTCCTCTGAGTTCTTACCACATTCAGACGTCCTTTCTGCACTCTCTCTGGAATTGGAAGGCTGACACTGACTGGAAGCCTTCGGACGTCGCTTACTGTTTCGAGAGAGTCCTGGGCAATTTCATTCAGGAGGTGGCCTCTGCTCACCTGAGCCATTTCTTTCTCCCGACATGCAATCTGTTTGCGGCAAAGTTCTTCCCACCCACTAAACTGAAGTTCTTGTGCTCTCACCTTAGAGAGAAAGAAGCCACTGCCAAAACATCCCACCAGAAATGTTATCCTGCTCTGGCTCCGCGTTCTGACATGACGCGACCACACCTGGCTGCTGTCAGTTGTTCTCCCTAGTGTGACAGTTTAACCAGGGTGTCAGCAACCCACAGCTCTGGAGCCGCATGCGGCTCTTTCATCCCCCTGCTGTGGCTCCTTATCGGCTGAACCCACCACTGGCTGGCCCCACCCCCTCAGCCTCCCCTTCCAGTCACTCCTCGCCTGGCCTGAGAGAGAGGAGAGAGAGAGTCAGAGAAAGAGAAAGAGTCACACAGAGAGAGATACCTGTTTCCCACAGAAAACACCGGGAGCCACAAAACCTGGGTAGACGTGGCTGGGGGGGGGTCATGTGACTGGGTGGGAGTGAGTGACATCGAGTTGACCACACCCACCCACGTTTTGTGGCTCCCGGTGTTTTCTTTTCTGTGGGAAATGGGTCCAAATGGCTCTTTGAGTGTTTAAGGTTTCAGACCCCTGGTTTAATTCAAAGATACCTGCAGCTCTGCTGGACAAAAGAAAAGCTGGGCACCTTCTTTGTTAGGGACCAAGTCATTTAAACCAATCTAGGTGATTCACAGGTTTTTGCAATTGCAGCAGGTCCCAAGAAGGATTCTTTATGGACTTCCAGAGGGCAGGTCTGAGCATTCTCAGTCCTTCTTATAAAATCCATCCATCTCTTCCATTCATTTCCAGTCACGTTGTCTGTGAGGAGACTAACATTCATCCCACAAAAGACCAAATATTATATATCCAGTGATGATGGCAGGCAACCTCTTTGGATATTTTGAATTGCAGTTCCCATCATTTATATGGCTGCTCACTCTTCAAAGTGGCTGATGAGAGTTGAGCTCAAAGATGGAAAGGACTGTGGCAGATCTTCCCATTACAGTTTGTTTTATAAAAACAGACAAAGACAAAATAGGGGAAAACCTATTCCAGAATAATGCACCGATTCATTATTATTAGCCAGACTACCAGCTGGGAATTAATTTTGTTGCAAAGGAATGTCAGTTGATATTCTTGATGTTCCAGGACTACAGCTCCCAAAATTCTCTGCTAGCTTATCAGGGGGTGCCAGTTTAGGGTTTGTATTTCTTTTGAATCTTAAATTTTAAGCTGAGTGACTTTTTAAAAGGGCGGAAGCACACTGTAAATTCAAGTGGCTTTACTCCATCATCACCACCAACAGCAAGATTTGCAAATGTGTGAGTGGCTGGCTGAAGAATTCTGGAGCTGAAGTCCACAAGTCTTAAAGTTACCAAGTTTGGAGTTTAGATCATTGTTTCTTTTGTTTGTTCGTTTGTTTTCCTGGTTTATTGAAATAGGATTTCCACCACTTTTCATGTTCTTGTGGTTTTTGATGTGAATTGCTGCAATAGTTTTTGTGTTCTGAAGAAATCTGTTCCGTTCTTCCCTCCCGTCTGAAAATATACTTTTTTTCTCCCAAAAAGCTGAACTGGCAGTTGCGTTTTTGTCCATTGCAATCTTTCTATCAAAATGTTCAAACAAATGTAAATTGCTCATCGTTTTCTTTTTCTTCTTTTTCTCCTCCTATCAAATTGGCTTTCCAGCCTTCTGGAAGATTGAGAGGCACCACCTGGAGTAGTGCAAAAGTGTGCAGGTGGAATTTTTTTTCCCTACCCAATTTGATGGAGGTTGAGAAACAAAGCTGTACATTCTCACTTCCAAAAAAAATGCCCAAATACACTGCTGAAATGTTGGCCATCTCTGGAAAGCAAGAAATGCTGGAAGACCAATTTTAGACTGGAAGATGGTGACCAGGTCAAGATCACCCAGTGAGTTTTATGGCAGCGCCAGTCAAAAACAGGAAAAGGCAAAGATGCTTAGCATTGCAGCTCACCAATCTCTAAAACAGAGATCTTCAAACTTGGCAGCTTTAAGACTTGTGGACTTCAACTCCCAGAATTCTCTCAGCCAGCTAAACTGCAGCTTTGCTGCAGCTTAGCTGGCTGAGAGAATTCTGGGAATTGAAGTCCACAAGTCTTAAAGCTGCCAAGTTTGAAGACCTCTGCCAAGCTGCCAAGTTTGAAGACCTCTGCTCTAGAACAATGTTTCTCAACCTTGGCAACGTTAAACTGGGTGTTCAAGTCCCAGAATTCCCCAGCCAGTAATGCCCCCATGCTGCCTGGGGGAATTCTGGGAGTTGAAGTCCATACAGTTTAAATTTTCGGCACGGTTGAGCTGCTTGTTACCCCGGCTTTAAATGACGGGTCGGGTGGCAGTGTTTTCTTCCTGCCTTCAGAGGGCAGTGCGGCGCCCTCGGCGTCGATTCCTCCTCTCCATGAAGCCCCTCTGTACGAAAACACTTCCTCGGCTCGGACTCTATGGCAGTTCTGCCCGACCGGCCGCATTAAGATCCTCTTCCGGAGGCCTCGCGCTCTTTTCCACGCCTCCAAAATGGCGGTGAGTAAGTCATTTTGCCCCAGCGGCTCCGCGGGTCGCCTTAAATCCATCTCCATCGTCGCGGATCTGAGGCCCTCCGGCCAAGGGTTTGGGCCAGTGGGTCGGGGAAGGGTCGGGGCTTTCTTTGAGGCCGTTATGGGAAGCGGTCAGCGTAGATTTCCTCCCCGGTGTAGGAAAAACGACCGGCCCTGTTGGTCGAGCGCAGTCCCTGCTTCAAAGGCCGGCTAAAGATTTCATTCCCCATCTCGGCCTTCCTGTGGAGTTCACCCTGCGCGAAAGAGCGGCTTCTTCCTCAGGCCCCCAAACTGCAGGGCCTCCTTACCTGTGCTTCCCCCCCCCCAGCTAAAGGGCAACTATGGTTGGGTTCCCACGACATGCTGAACTTAAGTTTATTTTAATCGGGGTGTGTGTATGTGTGTCTTTCTCGGTAGCAACGCAGGTTAGGCGAATTCTCAGGGCTTTTGCTTAGGTGATGTAGGGGATTGTGTGGGATCCTGTGTGCAAGTCCAGAAAATGTGTGTATTCAGTAAACAAGAATGAGACAAATGTGAACAAGAGTTTGCTTTTATATCAGGGGGTCTCCAACCTTGGCAACTTTAAGATTTGTGGACTTCAAGTCCCAGAATGCCTCAGCCAGCAAAGCAAAGCTGGCTGAGGAATTCTGGGACTTGAAGTCCACAAGTCTTAAAGTTGCCAAGGTTGGAGACCCCTGAGTTAGAGGGAGTATTTATGATGGAATGACTAACAGTCCTGGGAACAGGGAGAAGAGTGAAAGATATTACAGGAAGGCAGGAGGACCATTACAGAAAAGTCAAGTTCAGGGGAGGAAAGTGAATGTAAGGAAGGAGATTCTACCTTCGTTATGCTAGTTATCATTTGAGCTGGATCATGGCTCTGTGGCAGGCTTTCAAGATTCTCTTCCAATGACCCGTGAGCTCTGAAGATTCTTCAGAAAAACTAGAGGATTGTCTCTTGATCTGCTTTCAAGTTTTCAAAGACCTTGATGATACGGAGGGCGGAGAGGAAGAGCATCTCTGGCTGTTCACAAGAGGGGGAGATGTTTAGCCTATGTGATGGGAAGCAGGAATGTGGAGATCAGAATGTTTTCAGTCAAAAACCAGGACATCTCTAAGGTCCAAAGGAGCATCCAGACTAAGGGCATGGGAGGCAGGGGTGAAATCTAGCAGGTTCTGGCGAACTGGTAGCAGAAATTTTGAGTAGTTCGGAGAACCGGCAAATACCAAACTGGCTGAGGGATTCTGGGAGTTGAAGTCCACAAGTCTTAAAAGTTGCCAAGATTGGAGCCCCTGCTTTATATGATCGACTGGTGGCTAATTCCCATGTTGCTCCCCTTGGGCTCCTTGTTAATGATAATCTGAAATGCACTTCTTATTTAATGCCTTGGGAAAGAGTCCTTAGTTAAATTCAATCTCAAATGGAGCCATGTGTGATGGTGTAGCCACAGCACGAATTGCCCACCGCCCTAGTATCTATAATCTCAGTCTGATGTTAGGAGGAGTATTAATAGAATAGAGTGAATTGAATTGAATTCAGCCTGATGTTAGGAGGAGTATTAATAGAATGAATTGAATTGAATTGAATTCAGTCTGATGTTAGGAGGAGGATTAATAGAATAGATTGAATTGAATTGAATTCTTTATTGACGAAATGTGATTGGAGGCACAAGGAATTTGTCTTTGGTGCATATGCTCTCAATGTACATAAAAAGACAAGATACATTTGTCAAGAATCATAAGGTACAGCACTTAATGATTCAATCTGTGTTCCACCAAAACTTTAATGTCACAGCAGTGTAGAAATGCAATTTTAAAAAAATCTCTGCTGAGGTAAAGAGGAAGCCCAACCCTAATAATAACATAAGGCTCTACAGTTCTGGTTTCTAAATATAATTAATAAAAGATGCTGTGTAAGAAGGACAGAAATATAGGGGCAATCTGAACAAAAAGAGCGTGTGTTTTATTGGATGCTGAATTTGGCCAGAAGGTTTTGTTTCTGTGCTGGTCATTAATCGCATGTCTCTTTTTAATGTGAAACAGATTTGGAGGGCGTTGAAATTAATATTTCAAGAGCTCAGACTGCTTTGTTTAGTGCAAACTCTGGCTAGCAGCAGTTCTCCAAGCAGGAGGAGTTACTAACAGATCATACAGGTAGTCCTTGACTTATGACCACAATTCACAATTGAGCCCAAAATACCTGTTGCTGAGACAGATGTTTTGCCCCATTTTACAACCTTTCTTGCCACAGCTGTTAAGTGAGTCATTGCAGTTGTTAAATTAGTAACAAGGTTGTTAAATGAATCTGGATCCCCCATTGACTTTGCTTGTCAGAAGGTCACAAAAGGGGATCACATGACCTCGGGACACTGCAACCGTCATAAGTATGAACCAGTTGCTAAGCATCTGAATTTTCATCACGTGACCATGGAGGTACCGCAGTGTTTGTAAGTGTGAAAAACGGTCATAAATCACTTTATTTAGTGTGGTTGTAACTTTGGTCACTAAACAAACTGTTATAAGTTGAGGGCTACCTGTACTTTTTAAAGCTGAGGATGTCAGTAGTTGAACCCAGAGCCTTGTGCATCCAAAGTATGCCTTCTGCAACTGAGATATCATCTCACCCTATCAGTCCATTCAACTGTGAGCTAATGACTTGTTCTTATTTTTGAAGAATATAGTAGTATTAATACTACTAGCAATAGCACTTAGACTTATATAGCGCTCTGTAGTGCTTTTAAGCTCTCTCTAAGCGGTTTACAGAGTCACCAAATTGTCCCCAACTCATGCATCGTTTAGATTGCCCCATGTCCTGTGGTATTTCTGTTTAGGTGTAAGCTAAATTGTAGCTTGTATTCTAATGATAAACTCTGTGAATTTCCACACAGCACTGTGATTGTTTTTGTTATTCAAGATATACTCAGTGGGGCCAAGGTGCCGTAACCCCCTGATTTACAAGTAGAGATAAAAATTAGTGGTGCATGAAAATCCTGTTTTAATTAGCTATCGGCAAATTAAATAGAAAGTCTGTTTTTGAAACTGGAGCATCAAGGTTTAGGAGCTATTTAGTCCATACTTTGTTCTGTGTGATTCTCCTAAGTCTGCTTTACGTGCTATTGACAGACATTCTGACAATGAGATACCAAGACTCCGACTCGTGCAGGCAAAGAAATATGGGGATTGCTATGCAGTTTTGAATCAACTATACTAATAACTCTTACCTGTTACTATGGTGACTCCCTCCTCCCTTAGCCTACTAGAAGGTAGATTGGCAGATTGGCAGAACCCTGCAGAGATCAAAAACAGGCAAGAGTTACAATCAGAATCGATGAGGTGAAAACTGCTATGGGGAAGAGTGGGGTAACCAGTTGGAGGCATTTAAGGTGTTATGCTGGATTTGTAACATAAAACCAAAAAAAAGTAGCTTTGCCAATCTCACGAAATCTATTCTCAGCTTGACAAGTGTTGCTCTTTTTCCAGACTACACATGATGAGAATAAGACTGGGCGCTTTTTTTGCCATAACCACAACCTTTTTTCTCCCCCTGCCATTTTTCTAGCATCAAGACCAGGGTGAGAAGGAAAACCCCATGAGGGAGCTGCGCATTCGCAAACTCTGCTTGAACATCTGCGTTGGAGAGAGTGGGGACAGGCTCACTCGAGCAGCCAAAGTGTTGGAGCAGCTCACAGGACAGACTCCCGTCTTCTCAAAAGGTAAATTTGGTCAAAGGCATTGATTGAACTACAAGAACTAGCAGGCTTCTTACCAGCCGCCTCTTCGGGCAACTACCAGCCTTCATTGAATTACCATCCTTCGCCAAGCTGGTAGTAGGAGCTTTGATTTAGCACTGGCCTGGGGAAGATTATTGTAGAACAAAGAGTCTTGAAAATGACTCTAGAATTATTTGAGGCTTTCCTCTATGGCAGGAGTCCCCAACCCATGGGCCACAGGCTAATTGCCTGTGCAAGTGGAGCTGTGCCCGTGCCTCTGCGTGCGCACAGCCCCACTAACA